CATGTTTGGTGGAATAAGATTAAATACTATTGCTCTTGTACACTTATGTGCTACAGAGAAGAAAGAAGTCCAGAGGAGGGCCACAAAGATCAGAGGGAAACATCTCATACGAAGAAGGGTTGAGAGAGCTGAGTGTGCATGTTTTCTGTTACATACCTGGACCTTGTAAGACTAACTGAAAAGCTACAGCATTATTTTTAGGAAGGATTAATCAAAATTAATATATATAAAATTCTGAAAGCTGCAAAGAGCAGATTTTTGTTCTTTATTTTGTATGGCTACTTCATTTTCAGATTTCATCTGTACGTAGGTTCTCTGTTATCAGCATAATACTGTATCTCTAAGCATTAGGAAGAAACAGCAACAAATATCACACTTCTTTGTTCAGAGGAAGAAGTAGTAGAACATTTTCTTCAGGAAACGTTATTCATATTCAGAAAGTCAGAAGTCAAAGAAATACTACTCTCTTTCCAATGCAAAGTGCAAGGCCTTTGTGACGTATGCGACCTCCTTTGCTAAGTTGTTTCTGTGTTATAGACTGACTCCTTGGAAAACAGTGCCTCTTCCACAGAGAAATTGTACCCCTGTGCATAGAAACCTTGAGTGTAATAGATGAAAAGCTGCGTACTGCAATCTCCAATGAAAACAGCCTGTTTTCTTATTAGGAACTCTCCACCCTGCTTGTGTTGCACTGATATCACTAACTTAATATTAAATGACCTAATAGAATTATTTGCTGTACTCATACTTGCTTTTGCTAAACATTAGCCTACAACCACAGTAACACCCCTAAAACATGAAAAGATAGCAATATTGGAATAGTACTTACTGTAATCACAGCCTTGCTCAGACAGATAGAGCCTCTGCAGCCATATTCTGTTTCATCTTCAGACTTGTAATAACTGAGTGTGTTGCTTTTCAGAACTACCCATCGATCTTGCCACCCATGAATATAGTTGGTCCACTGTAAAATAAATAAATAAAGATCTGCTAGTAGAAGAATAACAATAAAAGAATTTTGTTGATACTTTAGGCTTTTAAGCACCAGGAAAGAGTTTGTAAAAAGTTTTTTTTTTTTTTTTTTTAAAAAAAGTTCTTCCCAATTGAGATCATTCTTCATCTGCTCAGAGCTCTTAAAAATCTCTTTTGCAAACCACAGAAGTAAGGTGCTAAAAAGCAGTTGTTTCAAAAGAACAGTAAGATAACAGATGTCTTGGTTGCAACACTGTTGCCAAGGCCACTTAAATACAGGTATCAAACACACCGATAACACATTGTGGAAGGGGGAGGGGGAAAACCAAACATTAACCACTAAGCTCAGTTTAGCCATCTGACTTAAAATTTGAATTAAACAAAAAGAAACTTAAGTAGAACATGGAAAGAATTCTTCCATATACAAGATAATTTCTACCAAACTGATTCTGATGAAGTTTCTCATTATTTTCATGTAAACACACATGTACCATTATCCCATCAGTATAGCATATAACTATTATAGTGTCTAGGGTAATCAGTTCTTTATCAACTCAATACTGCCTGCAGATATTGCTTTAGGTTTTAATTCCATAACCACTTAAACATTAGGAAGATAATTGCTTGTCAGCAGACTTCCAATCATCCTGATACTACGATTTTTCTAGGGACTAGACATTCATATATGCAGTGAAATTTATATTCCAGGAACAAGTCCTGGATTCATCATACAAAGATCTACTTACAAGTGACTAATAGAGTCCTGCTTATTAGCACGCTATATTTGCTACGGCTTCCCAACAGAACTAAACTGCACCCTGTAGAAGCATACAGCACAGAGTATCACAACTGTTCTGTAACTCTGGTCTTCAATCACAGGGCAAAAAATAACAAATTAGATAATAATATGAACAGGAAAAAAAAGCATTGAGAACAGTTTTATCATGCAAGCATTTCAACATGTTCATGACAACTGTTCTTTGATAAGAGCTATGAGAAGCAAGTTTAAAACATCTTTTTAACATTTAATTCTAACCATTACACACCATTTTGTAACATATTAACAGGGAGGGGGAGCATGTGGATTAATGGGCTAGTTTCTACATTATACTACATATGTTAATTAATGCACGTCCCATAACTGCATGTTAACTATAATAAATAACAATAACGAGTGCTAAGTACTAAGAAGGAAAAACAAACTATCACCTGAGAAATTGCTAACCATTTTCAAGCATAGGTAGGACACTACATTTGCTTGCCAAAGATAAAGCCTTTTACAATCTCCTAATATATCATATTGCTGAGTTCAGAATCTCTCAAAGAATGCCTCAGCTGAGCTTAGTACACGAACTGGCTGCACCAGCCATCACCGGAGGTATCAGCACTCACTGACTTCCTCTCTTCTGCTCTGTTATATTCCTTGCTCCTACCAGACGTAAAATACAGAGTCCAAAGTTATCTTGGGCAAAAGAGCAAGGGACAGGGAGGAAAGGACCTTTCCTTCTTTGACACAGTTAAGTGAGGTAAATATAGCAGTCAGTGTTGCATTTGCTGCTGCAATCAACATTTGCTGTTGCAATCAAAATGTCACACGAATTAAAAGACGCCTCGAAGTATACTTGATAGAAAAAAAGGTCTTGGCAAACAAAAGGCCACTTCTTAAAGCATGTGGGTTCCTGTGCATCAAAACATTTCCATGTCAAAGTTCTCTGGATCCACCTTAAAACTGTGAGCAGGAAATACAATGGAAAAAAAACTAGAGTTCTTAAACATTTAAAGAGACTGGTAAAACATACTTATTATAAGCTTCTCTTACCAAATTATTCCCTGTCCTTTAAAGCCTTCTCTCTTTACCAAGGGCAGAACAATTGAAACACTCCTGAGCAGACAGAGAGCTGCTGCGTACTTTCATCGATTTATAATGTAATTATAGACAGTAAGTTTTTAAAAACAAATATATGCTTAGTAGTAAGTTTGAAACGGTACCATTTCGTTTTAATTAGTTCATCTCAGGTATTATTGAGGCATCGACAAAAGGTAAAATTATCCCTCAACATTCACTGCAACAGGTTTCACCGTTCTCGAATGCATGACACACATGACTGCGCGACGAGATTGCATCCTGTGTTCTCACAGTAAAGGCACCATCAGCTACTCTCCACAACCATCTAGAACCATATAAAGCTTGCACATACGCACATTATGAATTTACAAAGAGGCCGTGGCTTCACCTGTTACTCCGGTAAGGAACAGCACCCAGACTCAGCAAAGCAAATAATTCGTCAACATTAAAATTAACTACATCTCACAAACATTACAGTTTCCAACGGTGAGAATCACCTAACAGAAGGAAAACTTCATAAAGGAAAAAAAAAAACCTACCCTACTAACCCAAATCACCGTGTTTTATCTGAGCCAACACCTCAAGTCTGCCTCACCTTCTCCCTCCCCATCCACTAGAGACGAGGGGATCTCACGGATGAGAGCCACGGCCTTTCCTCTCTCCTCCCCACTCCCCCCATCTCCGGGCTTAGGCACATTTCCAGGCTGGAAGCCTCCTGCAAAAAGCAGGGCAGCGGCCCCGCGATGCCCCTTGTCTCAGCCCGCGGGGCCGGGCTGTGATCTCGGTATCCCATGACCTGCGCCTTCGGCAGGGGCTGATGCCTGCCCCCACCGCACAGGACGGGGAAAAGAAATTCGCAACGTAGCGGTTTAATTCTGACGGTGTTTAATGGTTACCGTGAGGGGACTTTCTGAATAAATAAATAAATAAATAAATGAAGAAGAAGAAAAATTTGATGTCACGCTTATTAATTCTGCACACAACTTTAAAATCGTCCCCCCCCCCAATAAGATTTCCCGGTACCACCCGACGCATACATGCAAGTCATCTCATTTCCAGCGATAAAAGGAGAATAAAAAAAGAAAAAGAAAAAATAAAAGAGAACAGCAACGCTGGTAGTTAAAAAGGGAAGCGAGCCCTAGTGCCATTTTCCTTCCTCTGCCGCCCCGGTATCTCCGGCCGCAGGGGCGCTGGCAGCCCGCGGGCAGCGGGGGCAGCCGGGGGGGGCTGAGCTCGGCGCCGGGGGGCAGGGGGGGCCCGGCCGCCTTCCCTTCCCTTCCCTTCCCCTCCCTCCCTCCCCTCCCGCCCGGCCGGGGCCGAGGCCGCGCCAGCGCCTCCCGCGGGGGCTCCGGAGCCGCCGCCAGGCCCCGCGCGGGGAGCCGCGTCCCGGTGCTCGCCGCCTTCCTCCTCCTCCTCCTCCTCCTGCTGCTGCTGCTCCCGGCGGCGCCTCCCTCACCTTGCTGAGCACCCCGCAGAGCTCCACGGGCAGCCCGAGCTCGGTCTCGGGGTCCTCCTCGGAGCCGGAGGAGTTCCAGCTCTGGTTGTCCGACATGGGGACCCGGCAGCCCGGCGGCCCCCGCCCGCCGCAGCCTCGGCGTCCTCCAGCCCCAACGGACGAGTGGCGGCGGCTCCGGGCTCTCCTCCTCCTCCTCCTCTTTTCTCCTCCTTTTTCTCCTCCTTCTCTCTGTCTCCTTCCCCCCCTCCTCTCCCCTCCCCGCCCCACCTCGGCGCGGCCCCGGCCGGCGGCAGGAGCCACAACACGGAGGTGGCGGAGGGGGGCGGGGCGAGCGCGCTCCCGCCCGCCGCTCACTCCGCCCCGCGCGCCGCCGCCGCCATCTTAGGCGAGGCGGGTGCGCGCCGCCGCTCCTCGCCCGCCCCGCCCCGCCCCGCGCGGTGCCTGCCGGGAGTTGTAGTCCTCCCCCTTCCCTCCCTCCCGCCTGGCGCCATCTTGGCCTCGCCGCTTTTCGCCCTTCGGGGCCGGGTGCCGCAGGGCTCCTTTGTTAATCAAGGGAAGCGCCTGGGCGGCACTCCGTGAGGGCTGGGAGAGGCGCCGAGGCTCGCTCCCCGCCCGCGAGAAGCGGTGGGTGCCGCCGGCGGGCGAGCCGCCAGCCCTTTCCCGGGACAAAGATGGCGGCGGCAGGGCCGCAGGAAGGGGCGGGAGGCGCTGCCCGCTGAGGTGAGGGGGGGCGGCACGGCCCGGCCCGGCCGCTGCCGGTAACGGGGATCTGCCTCCGGTAACGGGGCTCCGCCGCGCCGTGCCCGGCCCCGTCCCGGCCGCTGGCGGCGTGTGGGGACTGCCCGCCCGCTGCGGGGGGCAGCCGAGCCACAGGCGGCGGCCCGAAGCCCGCCCGAGCCGTGAGGTAGCCGCGTCTCGTGTGCCTGGCCGCTGGTTCTGTAGGCACGGGGATGCAATAACACCTCTTCGTTTTTATGTATTTTTTTGGGCAGTTCGGTGTTATTTCTTCGCCAGAGCTCCACCCGAGGCGTACGACTTTGCCGGTATTTATGGAGGTAGTAATATTTCTGGAAAGAAAGCGAGTTCGTCGCTTAGCAGCCTGCGAGCCGATACAGGGACATGGCAGGAGCTTCGTATTTGTGCTGGCTCATCTTTTTGCTTATTACTTATTATTTTCTTTTGAAGCTTAAATAATTTCATTCAAACCTACAGCATCAACGTAATGACGCTGTCAAATTTTCTCTAACTCCCTGTGACAAATCACGGCGTAATTTTTCCATGTTACGCTTCTTGAAAGTTTCCCTTGAGGATTAGCTATCGAAAGAGCTCTTGCCATCAAGATACCTGTCTAAGTGCATTATCTGTATATGGGGCAGCTAAAATTTAAAAAACTTTCACCGTCTCAGTCGTTGGCATTAAGATACTCACCATGAATGTACATCTGTGGCACTGAGTGAGTGGTAAAGCAACATAATTACCCTCAACAATTAGAAATAGAGGGCAGTCGTAGACGTTTTAATACTTGTGTAATCATTGGAATGCACGGAAATATTTCTTACCAGTTCATTGTGGATACTATTTTTGACAAGTTTCTAACATAGAAAGTTGTTGAGAAATTATGTTCTTTGCTTCAGTAGCTGTTTGGAAAGAAATGAAGATATTTGTCCTTAGCATCTGCTGCAATGTACTCCAACCGTTAAGCAAGCAGGATGTCTGAGTTTTATATGTGTGTATATATATGTATATATATATATATGTATATGCATGTATAAGAACAATTTATAGCTCTTCTCAGCAGTATATTGATAAAGTTAAGTGGCATCACTTTTAAAGGTAGTTCTTTTTTCCTCATTACATTCTGAATTTATTTCTTTATCTGTTCTCATTGAGAGTGGGGAGTGAAGAGACATGTCTGAACAAGCCTTTTGGCAATGGCAGTGATGTGTACTCAGGTAGCCACGCACCCTTTCATTTTCTGTCTGGGATTGTCACCATAGTTGCAGATGCTCTTCTTCTTCTCTGCTTGTTCATTTTTATATCTGCCACATATTCCTAACTTGTCATCACCTTTTTTTTTTTTTTCCATAATGTCACCAGCTGATGTTCTTTAAACAGGTGTATTGAGATTGTGACTAACCTGAGACAAATTACATCTTCTTGCTAAAGTTCTGACCATCCTTTTCATATACGACTAGTTGCCTATTGCTTTTAGTGAGATTGGGTCACATCTGCATGGGCAACTACTGTGGTGCAGTGGGAGTAGATGTGCAAAGGAAAGATTTGGTGCTGCAGATCTTCAGTTCATCCTGTTTATATTTTTAGAGGTTTTTCTTCAGACTAGCTCTAGTCTGGTCCCATGTTGGGAGTCTCCATTAGCAATTGGAATGCATCAGGTATGCTCTGGAATTAGAGTCTTCCAGTTAAGTGTGAGAAGAATCTGATTTGCATGCTTCGAGGCCCATCTGTGATGCAAACCAAAGCCACAGTAAACGAAGGTGATCAAACTGATGCACTGATGTTGACTACACGCTCTGCTGTACCTCCTCCTGTGCCTTTTCCACCGAGCCTTTATTTTGTGCTTCATTGCTGTATTCATTCTTCCATCACAAGCTCTTTCTTGTATTCAGCCTTTATTCCCAATGTATTAGATTGTGAGCAGTTTACAAATCACTGTTATAATCGGAAGCAATCATCACCTTTCTTAGAATACTGGAACAGATGCTATTGTTCTGTATTGCTGATGTACTAAGTGTAATACAAAAATGCATTTTTGGAGTTTTACTTCTAAAGATGTTACTCGTAAACATCATTAAATTAGTCACTTTATAACTATCTGATTTTTTCTTGCTTTTTATATGTCTTTTATTTCCAGTATTATTTATTGTACCTTCAGCTGTGGTGTGTTCGCTGTATGTTATTAAAACACTTTCGTCATTAGTGTATTTTTTAGTATGCTCATGCTGGTAGTTAAAACTTCTTCTCAAATATAGGACTATTTTTCTTAAAAGATTTTTGAAGGAATTTTGTTTGTTTGTAGAAGAGCATATTGCCTAGCAATACAGGCTCTCAGATATAAATGATTCAGACTTTTTTGTAAAATAATTGTAATCTCTGTGTTAGGATTTTTGCTTTTAAGTAAAACATTTAAACAAAAGATTACTGCTAATTGTGAATATATAAACAGTGAGCACATCTCTGTAATAACACAATTGCAGGTAACTTCACCACTTCTGATATATTTCTTATGGATGAATGTTCATAATAGTTCAGTTCCTTTATTATTTTCTTTCTGTCTTAAAAAAAATAAAGCATTTGTTTCCAATAATCTAGAAATACAAGGAAACATTGGTTAAAAACTTGCGATTAGTCTTTTTCAGTTTAGAAGATTCTGTGAACTGTTGAATAGAGACAAGAGAACATATTCACAGCAGTCTTTTTCCCTTGGAATATACTCTGAAGACTTAAAACCTTGAGGTTTTCAGAACATAGCGATAGAGGAGCTGAAAGCAGGATTTGCAGCAGAACCGTACCACGTCTTGCCTGCAGAAAATTAATAGGGGATAGATAGTCCACTTGTTTAGCTTAGCTGGTTGTGAAGAACTATTCAAATAGTTTAATGAACAGCATAAAATATGTATTTTGACATTTTTATTTTGGGCGTTGTCAGAAGCAGTCTCTTTCTGTTTATTGTGCAGTGTGAATTAATTTTTAAAAGGCTTGGATTGTCTGTAATTTGCAAGCCAATTATTTCTGAAAAGACATAATTCTAGGGCTCTTTTTTGAAAGCCAGTTCCTAGGTACTTGGATAGGATCAAAGTTTTCATAAAATTTGTTGTGTCAGCCAATACTTGAAAAATAGTCCCATTGGGCTGTCAGCTTGGGTGGGCACTCTGAATTTTAAGTTCTGTGAATCTTGGCCCTAAGTGTTATGCTCAGCGTGATTAATTAATCACATACCTCAGCTGATTACAATTATAAATAGTACTTAGATGTTTCTTAGGAGATTATCTATTCCAGAGAACTAATAACATTTTATGATCCATTGAGACAAAGCAGTGACACAGTAGCAGTTTTGAATATTGCTAGTACAGAACCTGGGTGGTTAACACTGTGTATGTTTACCCGCTAATAACACTGTTGCACAGTTTTGCCTGGCAGCTCTGTTTTTTTAATCCCTACGGGATTAAAATTGACATGAGTCCTCTTCTGGGGACTGCTGAGTATCTAGGGCTCTAGTAACTACCAACCCACTTGTGGCTGAAAAGAATTGATCCGGTAGTTCAGAAGGACAGACTGATGTGCTTGCTTGCACGTGTCTGTTGGTGGTTTCTCCTGCTGAGAAGCAAAGACTGTAAGAGCAACTCATACTTAAATTATTGGTTGGGAAATGTGTTTTTACAAAGAATTAAGAGTTACAGAGTTTGTTAAATTTGCCGCTGGCTGCAATGTTTCCTTGCTGAATGAATACTCAGTAAAGACAGGTGTAATAAAGACTTTTCTGCTGCAAATGATATAATGTAACATTCCTGGTCAGGATAAAATTCTTAAATCACCCAAGTAGTGGCTCAGTCAAGCAGAATGAAATCAAATGCACTACTGGAGTTTGTAGTGTAACCTTTTAAGTATTGGAGATGTTAAAAATATAGTAGTGGGTTTGAGCTTTGCTAGTTTGAATATATGGTTGTTCTTGTCTTAGAAAGTCAATAAATAAAGCAAAGCATTTGTGGGAAAGCCATTGTTCACATGGCCTGGCTCCGTTGTGTTAGTTCCTATACCCAGCTGTCATAGCTGGGGTTCTGTTCTTTAATGATGGTACTTCAGGCAGTTACGCGCACAGCCTAGATGAAGATGCTTCTGTACAGGGAGTGGAATAAGAATTGTTGCTGTGTGGCCACATGCTCTATCTTAACTAGAAATTTGGGGGAGGGGGGAGGAATGTTGTGCCCATTTGAAATGTTGATTTGAGTGAGTTGTGGTCATAATGAGAAGGTCTGTTGTAGTCTGTTTATTACTTTTAGCAGTGTTTCATTAGCACCCAGCAGCTTTGTTCTGAGGTGGCCCATGATGTGGTTTCTCGCAATAATAATTTCCAGTCCAAGGGAGACATTTGAAGGGTTGGGTTTGAGAGCTACTCTTGAATCAGTCTGCTAGGCTTCTTTGTTCTGAATTTGTTTTTTCAATTTTGTTCTCTTTAAGTATTTTTCAGTGCTTGGCCCAAAACAATGAAGTAGATAGAGAACATATTTCATGCTTACTTGTGAAGTATTGTCTGTGGTACAAGTGATCCTTGTTTCTGTCCAAGAGTATCTTCATTCACTTAAAGAAGAGTTTGTTTTCCACATCTTTTGTCAAAATAGTTGTCACAAGTATTAAAAAATAAAAAAAGGAAAAAAAAGAAAAAAAAAAGAGGGGGAGGGGATGAAGGAGAGAAAGCCTGATCTCTTATATTTTGATTTGGTGTATATATAACTTTCTACGTGATGTTTTTGAGTATATTTTATATTTTACACTTATGTAAATGAAAGTTTTGGCAAATAAATGATTTAAGTTTTCCTATCAAAGCTCTAGAACCAGTAGGTGCTGGTGATTAAGGGTATGTATATCATTAGTTCATGTTTTTTAGTAAAGGAAATTGCTTATGACAGTAAACTTTAATTCCATCTCAATTAAATGTAAAGTGACTGCAAAGGGCTGTTGTCAGTGACTTTTGTAGCATTCTCACTAGAGAGGGACGCTAATTGAGCCTGCATATTTTCATTCACGTAATTTAGCTTGGCTTATAAGATTTTTGGTTCAAAATCCAAATTGGTTGGTGCATTTTGGTGAGATACTGACACAGAAAAGTTTTATGACAAGTGGATCTCTTGAAAGAACTTGTAATTGCTTCTTCTCAAGTCTTCAGCTGCTGAATTACCCCTTGCACTGAAGATGTGTTGAAGTTGAAGCCAAATATTTCACTCATGTTTCACTTCTGAGGGTCTTCTGAACACTTAGGAAGCATTTCAGGAGTTTCATATTCTTCACAACCATATTCTATGTGGATGTTATTATTTTAATAATTGTTTGAAGCATGATATGGAAGAAATCTTTTCCATTCCACACTTGCACTGAGTGCTCTGAACTTTTCTAGTACTTGATAGTGGGTCATTTGTAAAGTTTTCATAAGAAAAAGTGAAGACCAGGGATCTCACTGTATACAGTGATACTTCAAAGAAAGAGTTTTGTTTTCATTTTTTCCTTCTCTTTGAAGTTTTTGGAATAGTACGAATTACAGAAGCATTTATATTTTTGAGCATAGTGCAAGCCACAGTACACTTGACCTTAGCCAAAAGTCTGGGAAGTGACCCTTTATGGTCAAAACTGGGTGAAGTTGTTCATCTTAGCTAACTGTTTATTGTGCTTCCAGTGGTTTTTCATAGAATCATTTAGGTTGTAAAAGACCTCTAAGATCATCAAGTTCAACTGTTATAGCCCTTCTCTGGACATGCTGCAGGGCCTCGATGCCCTTCTTTTAGTGAAGGGCCCAGAGCTGAATGCAGCACTCGAGGTGCGGCCTCACTAGAGCCGAGTACAGGGGGACGATCACCTCCCTGCTCCTGCTGGCTGCACTATTCCTGACACAAGCCAGGATGCCGTTGGCCTTCTTGGGCACGCTGCTGGCTCTTGTTCATCAACCAACATCCCCAGATCCTTTTCCTCTGCACAGCTTTCTAGACACTCTGCCCGAAGTCTGTAGCACTGCATGGGGTTGTTGTGGCCAAAGTGCAGGACCCAGCACTTAGCCATGTTGAACCTCATCCCATTGGCCTCTGCCCATTGACCCAGCCTGCCCAGGTCCCTCTGCAGGGCTTTCCTGCCCTCCAGCAGATCACCATTTGTGCCTACCAGGGTCTTGTCTGTGAACTTACTGAGGGTGCCTTCAATCCCCACGTCCAGGTCATTGATAGAGATACAGAATTGAAAGGTCTTAAACAACTCCTGTTAACATCTTGACCTTGTCACTGAAATTAAAGGTAGTATTTAGTTTCTTCTGATACAGGCTGCATACAGTGACAGAATTCCTGATGTTAGCTCTTCACTGAGTCTCAACACTTGTATGCAAATGTAGCTGTTATAATTTTGTTTTGTTCTTGCTAAAATAAAAATAAAAGAGCTTAAATAAAGGAATGTCTAAAACGCTTTAATTAAGAGAAAATAGGAAGTTTCTTTTGGGCTTGTACCATACCAAATGAGATGTCAGATTTTCATGAAATGTTGCTGGACTCTTCTTGAATTGTACAGAAATTGAAGAAACTATTTACAAATAATAATAATAAAAAAATAGATCCTTATTTTAGCTATCCCCCAAAAAAGGAAAATATTTTTTTAAAAATTGTATAGGAAAGAGTCTTTCATAAGTGTGTTGCTATTTGCAATGTCAGTATATGTATATTTTTGCACATTGTATATTTTCCCACTGTGAAGACTAACCGTGGGCAAATTAGATACAAAAGATGATCCCTTACATTTGTTGTAGATGTTTTGATTCCTTTGAGCTGCAGGGGAGGTAAGCAGTTGTGTATCTTAGTAACTTTGCATCTGACGCTTTATTTCTTTTATTGGCATGAGCATCTGTGATAGCAAAGATAACAGATTTTATTTTATTTTTCTTTATGAGAAGTGGTACACGATTTACATGCATCAGATCATCATTCAGTGTGGCAATTTCTTTTTCAAGGTTTTCCATGCAAGTGTCCCTTTCTATTCTGAATATTACTGCTCAACAAGTTGTTACACTATCAGTGAAAGGAAACAGTTAACATGTTTTGCCAGTGTTAATGGTTTGTATAATAACACTGTCTCCACTGAACTGAATAGTCACAGAAATATAGTCTCAGATATTCTATGATTTTTCTCCACCTTTTTGTTTTGCCATTAACTGCTGGCATTCAGTGCCTAAGTCTTCCTCTTACTATTTAGAAGCCCCTGCAGTGGCAAATGGAAAATTGCATCTGCTGCGTAAAAATGATTCTACTGCTTCTTGTCTCTATCTCCAAATCACAGGAATAATAGGATAGTATTTAGCTGTAGAGTGCCCTCAGACTTCTGATTTCACACCCTATTTACTTGCTATGACACTGCAAGAGATTTAATGTGCCCTGTTTAAAGGAAACGGCTCATTCTTGGGGTGACAGCATGCCAAAAATGTATCACAAATATGTCACTGTTTACCTAGACATTTCTGAGCCAGTATTTTGTTAGACTCTAAACTTTTACTCGCTTTTCCAAGTTGATTTAGCCAAAACTTTTTAATACTATGTCATCACAAGCTAGCTGCTTTCTCTGGGGCAATTTGCTAGTAAAACCTGTATCTTTACCAGTTTCTACACTGACATTGTGTTCAAGTTTTTTACAGTTTTTCACATGGTGCTTCTCCTGCATTTCCTTTAAATATATATATGTATTTTTGTTTTGGTAGATGATCCACTGACCATTTTATCTGTCAGTGTTGTATTTGTTGTTTTATTGACGTTTCCATGATTCATTTAAGTATGCTAAATATTTAAATGTATTATTTTAGGCCTGTTACTCTGAAAGGAAGATAATCTCCTGGCTCTATTCATGTTAACCAACTGATAATTGCATCAGTTGTTATTCATCTTTTTCCTTCTGTACACATTTAAGCTTCAATGGAGCTTCAATGACTAATATCATGTCCTTAAATAAATATGTTCCTCTTAATTCCAGCTAAGGTATTATTTGGCATTTATTGTCTGGTACTAGCAATGTATTTTGTTCCACACATGAGGCTGAAAAAATAAAATACTTCAGGAGAACAGCACTTATGAGACTTTTTTAAAACTTTGTTTTTTTTTATCACTGGATCATCATGGTAATTTTTCTTCACTCAGTATATAGCAGTGTGAGAAAGAAAGCTTTTGACTTAAACATATGCATTGGTGTTCAAAGCCTCTTCTATAACACTGAGCCTTTAAGAGTGGGCTGCATGAAGGATGGGAAAGATTTGTACGTGCAAGGGATAAAGACCCTTCTTCAAGAGTATGAAACAGCTAAAAAAAAAAAAGTTGCAAAGACTGGAATAGGAAATGGAAGCAATACCTTTGTGTTCATGCCAGCTTCTTGAAGTAAAAGAGTGATAAAAGAACCAGGGGGAGTAGTGGAGGGGCATTTACCTTGGAAAAAGCCTTTATTGAGAATTATGCCCATTACTTACCAGAGATTGCAAGTGACAATGGAATTATTGTGGAGCTAATTGAGATGGGGATGTGCATGAGCTTGAGATGAAACTTGGAAGAGATGTGTGTGTTGCAGTGTTTTTTCCTTCGGTTGTAGTCTAGCAGCCCTGTTCTCGTAAATGTTTATGTTAACTGTAAGAGATTGTCCTCCTGTAAGTGGAAGATTAATGAATGTTTCGTCATCATTGTCTTCTATTTGATAGATACACACAAGAGCTATGAAGCAACTCCCATTCCCAGTTGCCACTATAGAAGCTAAAGTGCTGCTGAAGGGTCAAGAGAAGAGTTCCGGTCTCTGCATCTCCAGGTACTTACTACTCCTTGAAATGCAACAAGCTGTAGATAAACACAACCTTACTTAACTGGTCTTAAGTCTTTGGAAGGCATCAAAATAATCTAAATTAATGGAATATGTTTAAAATTGCAATACTTTTATCAGAATATTTTTAAGGGCTTTAATAGCTGACTCCAGTTTGGCTACAGTGTTTCAGGAGGTGATCTTCAGGAAAATACAAACATTGCACCATTGATTTTAAAACGTCAGCCATGTGGTTCTTTCATCACAAAAAATCAGCTCTAAATGTGAAAATACATAATGACATTCTTCACTTTGGTCGATAATGAGTTCCACTTAAGTCCTGGAGTAATAAAAGCAGCATTTTAAAATACCCTCTAGACAAATTGTAACACTATTAGATCTGTGTAGTTTGTGGTTGCATTTAATAGAGTTTCTCTAAGTGTCTGAAAGGGTGTGGTTCCTCCCAACAGGAAGGGCTCCTGTCATATGGAGCCGCTTGAAGAGGAAGTTCAGGAGCAAATGTGCTTCCTGCATGAAAATAAAGCTTAAGTTGTTTATGAGTCAGCAACTTCGAGTAGGAAGAAGGTCCTTCTCTATGCTTTTCCAGTAATAAATGTGTGTTAAATAATTCAGGACAATATCAGACGCCTGCTTGGTTCAATCCAGCAAAAATAAGACCACAAGGTCATGCTACAGAGGTTAATTTTGGTTTGTTCATTTTTAAGACAAATTTAATATCTAAACAATGTACCATGTAATTAGAGCCTATAGAAGGTTAAACTATTTACTTTCATAAAGCATAAATGAAGATGTCTCACCTATCAGAGGCACCTGTATGTGGAAAAACTATGGCAGCACTTGAGTAGGAAAAGCTTGTAAGTTCCATTAATTGGATGCCATGGCTCTACAAATTAATGGAAAAAAATGATTGTAGGAATTTTACCCTGAATTAAACAATAAGGTTTTATTCAAAGCCTTTAATTAAAGCTGTTTCTAAAAGATGAGCTGTAATTCTAAAGAAGTTTTGAATTTGAGTTAGAAAATACTGGGAAAGTTTACATGGTTTGTCTCAAGCAGGAACGAGGACTAAATGAACAATGGATTTCTACAATCTAAAATTATTGTTTCCTTTTTTTTTGTTTTGTTTTGTCATGTAATAGTCTAGCAGGCAGCATTTTGTATTTAAGACAGTACTGTTTCTTCCAACAGGATAATATACAGGCATAACTGTCACGTGCATGTGTAAGATGCTAGCCTTTACCTGAATCTAGTGGTGCTCAATTATTTCTGTAAGACAGCTTTTAAAAGAGTTTTTCTTTAAGTTACTCAAAAAGTAAAACCTAACTGTCTCAAAGCTCTGTCAGAATTACAGATGGCTTTATTTGGTGGGTATAGGAGGCCAGCCACTTTACACGAATATGTCTCCATATTTGTGTATGTCTTTTTTGTGAATAAGTATAACATGCAGCAAATTATTTTTGTGTTGGTCAGCTGGAGCTTAGAAACAAATATGATTTAAATTATTATTTTTTTTTTTCCAGGTATTAAGTCTTTCGAGTAGTACTTGTTTTCAAGAAATACTATGGACAACATGAAAAAAGTTGATGACAGCTCTAGTAATGATGGATTTCTGCTTAGAATGGGCCTCAATGATAACAAAGCTGGAATGCAAGGCTTGGATAAAGAGAAAATCAATAAAATCATCATGGAAGCTACCAAGGTTGGTTTGATTACTTTTTTTTTTTTTTCCTCCCAGTGCTTTAACTCTTTCCCAACATCGTAAGCCCCTCTTCTTCCCATCCCCAGATTTTATCCCTCACATGTGTAAATGGAGCTTTTAAGGAGAAATGCATGTGTGGGGAGGGAGTACAGTTTAGCATACCTGTGGATTCATGCACAGAGTCCTAGAGGAACACGACTGAATCGGTCGTTAGGTGTTCCTTTTTTGCCTGAAGCAGTATATAAGTAGCACTGCATTGTTCAGAGGTATTGTGAAGATTTCAGCTTCTTTAGGCCTTTTTTCCCCTTTCCATTCCTTTTGCCTGCCTCATCACCCAAGTAGATCTACCTCTGTTGGTCACCTTTCCATAATTGATGAAGTTGATGGGACCGTATTTTTCTAATTCTTTCACTAGAATTCTGTTGTCCCTGTCTTTTTGTCCATCGTAAATGGTACTTGAGAGAGGTGGCTAATAGTATGTGGCTTTGTATCAAAGACCCACAGAGGAGGCCACAAATTACAAGGCACTGAAATATTATTCCTCTTATTTTTTTCTCTGATCCTGCACATGGGCACATCAAGGCTTCCATTGATTTAGATGTTTCATTTACTTGTTCCCTGTTTCTTGAAAACTTGTCTCTTTGTCATACATATGCCTCATAACAATATTTGGAAAAAAAAATATTTCTGAAGAACAGTTACTGTTTCATCACCTGTTTTGAAATGGAACAAGCTGTAAAATTGGCTCTCAAAACTGATATACAGGCTTCTCTGTATTAGGATATATTTCTGTCAATAAAGCAAGGGAATATAGTACCAGGTATAGTTCAAGAAATCTGAAAATAAGCTTCAGTTCTTTCTGAAACTTTTCTTCTTTTGCAGTCCTTTCAAAATTAAACCTACAAACCCTAACCCACAATGGTATTTCAACAAAAACTTATGTAATTTCAACTGTGAAATATTGCAAGAGATGTAAAACAAACAAACAAAACCAAAATAAAGCATAACCCCCCCTGCTTTAATAACAATCTTAAATATTTGTGTTGCTTCCCACACCAACATTTTGGTATCAATTTCTTTCAGTGAGACTCTACAAGTCATGTTTCATTGCAGAGGGGAGAAAAGATGATATGTATATCTGATGAAGAAAGAAAATGCACAGTAATTTCTTCTAAACAATAAGATATGACATATAGTCTTTCTATTATTTGTTTTTATCATTATTATAAAAGAGAATATTTTTGTTTTTTCATGTAAATGCCTGGTTCTGATTTGACCGTTCTTGAATTCTTGGCGTCTGTTCAAGTTTGGTAGTCAGAGACTTTGAACTACAAATTTGTCCGCTTCTGCTGATTTTTATCAGCTGGTTCAACAGAACATGGTACCTCTTCCTACAAATGTTATTTCTCTTGTAAGAGAAAAATATTTTATTTCCTGGTTATGAGTTTTCCTCTTTTCCATATCATTGCATGTCTTTGTTTATTTGTTATGAGTTGAGAACAGGAAAGTCACAATGTGCAATCTTTACATTGTTGTCTTCTTTGTATGTTTTCGTTACATCTCCTCTTGTTCATCCCTTTCCTTGAAGAAGCAATTACATAATTAAGAGGAATTTTATGCCTATTTGGTTTTCATCATCCTCTTCTAAATAGCTTCGAATTCTGCAATGCCTTTCAAGATCAAATGGTTATGTTTTCTGTATCTAAAGATCAAATGTTGTTGGAGGAAAAGACAAAAAAAAAAAAAACAACTTACTGTTTTTGCAATTTTCTTCAAGGGTTCCAGATTTTACGAAAACGAACTTAAAAAAGATCAACAGGTTAACCAACGAATTGAAAAAATGATGCGGCTAAAAGAGAAAATTACACAACAACAGCTATTGAAAGCGCAGTTGCAGGTACTAATCTTGTGAAGACCTTTTTTGGAGAAAATAGCAAATAAACATTTCGTTGTGTTGTAATATACTGCAGTAAATTCTGTTGATAAGCACAATGCTGGCTGTTGTTTTGATGTTAGTCATGCAAACAAAAATTCGCACAGTGTCTTAAGGATGTAAGCTTAATAAAAATTTGCTGGAAGAAGATTAAATAGGTTCTAAGACCTAACTAAAATGTTTTTATTTGAATAGAATGAAGAAAAGTAATTCCTGTTCTTCTAAGTCTGTACAGTTTAAAGGGATGTCATTACGGTTTATGGAAGATTCATTAAATACTTCGTTAATAAGTATCATGGAAGTGTTGTCTACTTTCTGTTCTTAGAAGGTGTATTTTTGTGTAGTAAGACCTGCAATGGAATGAAGGTGATCAGAGCTGTCAACTATTCTGGATTAATTTATTCCTTATTGATGCTAATTAGTAAAATAAATAAATAATAGTAATGGCAAGCAGTCACAAGAAATACAAATGTCCTAAATTAGAAAGATGAAGGAACTATTTTTCTTCTTACATGCTAATGAGAAGCATGTGAGAGTAGTATTGTAAATATTACTGTGGGTGAAATTGTTTAAAGACAACTGAAACACCAGGTTGCACGCTATACATTCTTAGACACAACAAAATTAAAGTTACTTGTAGAGGCTTAATTTGCTTCTTTTTTCATTTGTACTGTGATTCAGTCTTTAATTACATGATTGCATGCTATTTTTCCCTAACAGGAAAAATTTCCTGTTTCATTCAGTGAAAAGTGCAATGTTCACTGAGTGAGCAGTTACTCATTATTTACTCTTGTCCTCATTGTTCAATGGGTGGCCCAAACCTTATTTGTTATACACTAGTCTAATCCATCTTTACATGCAGAATTACCGACTTCGTTGTAGGTTTTTCTATGTTGTACACTCTTTAAATTATTCTTGCAATACTCAAGCAAAGTAGAATGATATTTTTGTTTTGCAGATGAAGAGCTGAGGGAACAAAAATAAATTAATCACACCCATTGATTTTGAAAGCCATTGTGAGGACTACAGGTCCTGATCTTTGTTGTACAAGCTTTTTATTTGTTCACTGTAGATTTGAAGATCACATTGCTAATTAGATGCCAGTTTCTCAAATTTGAGCCCAGAAGAGCTTGCAAGAATAGTCCCTCTGAAAAAATGTTGTTATTAACCTATATGCCTCAGCTGTTTTTGTTATTTTTTAGCATGATTCAGTTATGTCTCTGGTAGTTATTATTGTTAGTTTTCGGGGGTAGCATTTGAGTCATTTAATTATGAAAATTATTAAATTATGAGGCATGAAAACATACTTTCACTTCCATCCTTCTTTCCAACAGAATTTTTTATTCTACAGAGGACAGGATTTCTTATAAAATGAATTACATGGGTCTTATAAAATTAGTATATGGGTATATACTAATAAGGTACACATAAAGAATGTGTAGTGCATATAGTGAAAGTCAACATATTTGAATTGCTTTGACTACCTTTGTTTTTTTGAACTTGATTCTTTGATCTTGCAAAATTAATGTTTTCTTTTAATGATTTAGATGAAAAATGTTTCATATAAAAGCAAAGAAACTTAAAAAGAGAAAATACTTCATGTGGTTCTTACTAAAACCTGCATTTCAAACCTGATGTTTGAAATCTTTGCCACTTGCTCAAAGAACAGTCTCCTTTTTTCTAATTGAATAACTGTTACATTAGCTGCCGTAGTGCATGAGGACTGTTATTAGAGGATGATGAGAGGCACACTTTTCTGATGGCTAATTTCAGGTCTTTGACAATCAAGTTGTAAAAAATCTGGAAATCTTGGATATCTGTTCTATCCCCTGTATGCAAATGAATTCTGGTCCATGATCGTTATTACCCTAATTTCTTTATCACAAGTTCTGACCCTTTTGCTCTCTTCTGTACTTTCTTTCATTTTTTTCCATCCTAAATCTATTTTTTTGTCCCACATCCCCAGATTAACATTGGTTGTTCTTCCAAAGCAGTTTCTGTCTATACCCCCAGGGTCTGTGATAAAGTCCTCAGTCTCCTGTTTCAGCCAGTCTTTATCTCTGTCTGGGTTCCTCAGTGCCTCCACCATTTCCCATCAGTTACCCTCCAGTAAATCTTCCCCAGGCTGTTAACTCCACCTTCAATGTCTCAAGTCATCTTTGTCCTATATGGATTCCTTAATATGTGCTTGGTATTATTTAATCACCTTCTTTAGGTCTTTCAGGTATGGATATACTTGGCTCTCATTATCAACTTTGTCTTTATTATAATTTTTTATTTCTTTCTTAACAACTCTTTGTTTCAGTACTACCTCCTGATATAGTGTGAGAGAATTTGTTCTCTTATGGTTTGTAAGTGGGAGATACTCTGGAATTACATAGTTGTCTGTAAACGTGAGTGCTGCAAGTTTTCATCTTCAAGTCAAGTTGTATTTGTAGGATGGTTAGAGATTGAGATACGGCTTCCTAAGATGGCAGTCAATACAAGTGCTGTGATGTAAAAATGAACCCACAACAAAGTTCTCACATACTGGATTTTTTTTGAGAAAATCCAGGTTACACAGGGGAACAGTAGCATAAATGCTGTCTTTCTCACCACTAGAGTCTATGTGTGCCAAGCAATAGTTTGAAGTTTTCCTAATGAATGCCATTCTCTCCCAAAGGAAATAATATACTGTATGGCATCATACAATCATTTTTTTTTTTTTTAAAAAAAGTAGTATCATTATTTGTTATCTCTTCATCTTGTCAAATGCTTTTAAAGATATAAAAGATTTTGAATAATCTTTTCATATATTTCTTTGATAAAGCAAATTATGATAAAAAACTTGTATTTTGCATAAGGTAAAGAATGAGAGGTTACTCTTTAAATTGTATACAAGTAACTATAGGCAAAATTAAACTTATATGTACAGGTCATATGTTTTAGTATTTTTTTGATCTAGCCTAGAAAATAAAATATAATAATTAAAAAATGTTGTCTTTTTTTACCTGCAAAGGAAAATTGAAAGCAACTTTTAAAAACTTCTCTACCTGGCTTGCCTCTAAGAGCTTTTCATAGCTTTTTTTTTTGCCTTACTAAAGACAGATTTGCACAGGATTCTCTGAGTAAGTCTAGGTGTCTTTTGTTCTGGCATATTACTTTAATCAATCTCTGTTACTGATGTTACATTTTCATATTTCTATTTAGATCATTTTCGTTCATTCTTTAGACTGATATGGTATCTGATGAGTATGTATCATGTTAGGAATACATGGGGGAGTAAAAGCAAAAAAGTTTGTTATAAATGTGATAAATTGAAATACAGAAGTTAAGTAGCTGGAATAGAGATTGACAGTAAAGTACTTAATTAAAGTAACTTGAAGTTGCAAATAGCCTAGAATGCTTTGCAAAATATAATTTAAAAACAAAAGGATGCTTTCCATGGTGACAGGGTGACTTGAACTCTTGATGAGTTTGTAGTGTAAAGAAAATAAGCTTTGTTCAGAAGGATTTAAGTGAAAGAAGAATGGAAGAAGCTTCTTCTTCCATATGTATCATGTGAATAGTTGGCTTTTTGTGTTATTTGAATGGCTTGCCAGCAGCACTTTCCACTTGGGCCCTTAATCTTTTTAAACCAGTTTTCTCGGCCTCAGGGAGCACAGTGTACTCTTCTACATGTAACAGCCTAATCGGAGGCCCCAGTTCACTGCTCAAATGAATTTGGAGCAAACCAGAGAAAAGACTTTTTCAGCAATTCAGTTGGGACATACATAGTTGCCTGTCTGTGTTCAGTGTATTCAACTTCAAAGGATGAGATTTTAGATTAGGTGGTTTTTGTTTAATTAAGCTGCTTTGCCAAGAAGTAATAAGGTAACTCTTCAAGTAACTGTGCAAATTGCACATAAATATTTCTTTTCAGATCATAACTCATTGCAGTTGAGCCAGAGATGTTTCTGCAGTGGTACCTTAGTGCCATGAATGTATGTGAGTGTCCTTTTACTTCTGTCCCATTTTGCCATGGGTGTTTCTTGAGCTCTGGTGTGCCTGAAGCTCATTGCTATCAACAGCAACCTTTTGTTTGTGTAAATAGAGGTTAGCATAGTCATTAGTGTGGCTGGATAATCACAGTTAGATAGCACTTTGTTCTCTCTTTTTTTTTTTTTTTTTTTTGATACTTTGTCTTTTGCTGAGAACTGTGTGTGGTGCTAACGAAAAGCATAATGAGATGTGTGAACAACTGGCTGACAGTCAGGCCCAGAGGGTTCTTGTAAATGGGGTTATATCAGGCTGGCAGTGTGTCACTGGTGAGGTTCTCCAGGGCTCCACTTTAGGACCAGTCCTCTTCAGTGTTTTCATAAACTATTTGGATGAAGGACTTGAAGGTTTTTTGAGCATGTTCATGAACGATACCAAATGGAGCAGTTGAATCTGTCAAGGGTGGTGAGGCCTTGCACGGAGATCTGAACAAATTAGACAGCTGGGCAATTGCCAACAATATGAAGTTTAACAAGAGCAAATGTCAGATTCTGCAGCTGGGAAGGGGCAATCCTGGTTGTATATACAGACTGGGGGATGAGAGGCTGGAGATCAGCCCTGCAGGAAGGGGTCTGAGGTTTCTGGTCCACAGCAAGCTGAACAGGAGCCAGCAGTGTGCCTTGGCAGCCAGGAGGGGCAACCCTGCCCTGGGGTGCATCAGGCCCAGCTCGGGGGAAGGGATTGTCCCACTCTGCTCTGCGCTGGGCGGCCTCACCGTGAGCACTATGTGCCACAATGCCAGAAGGACATAAAATTATTAGAGTGCCCAAAGGAGGGCTATGAGGATGGTGAAGGGTCTAGAGGGGAAGACAAATGAGGAGTGTCTGATGTCACTTTGGGTTGTTCAGCTCAGAGCATAGCAGACTGAGGGGAGGATTGTGGTCTACAGCTTCTTCACAAGGGGAGCGGAGGGGCAGGCGCTGAGCTCTGCTCTCTGGGGACAGCGACAGGACCTGAGGGAACGGCATGGAGCTGGGACAGGGGAGGGTCAGGCTGGGGGTTAAGAAAAGGTTCTGCACCCAGAGGGTGGTTGGGCACTGGGACAGGCTCCCCAGGGCAGTGGGCATGGCACTGAGCCTGACAGAGTTCAAGAAGTGTTTGGACAACGCTCTCAGACATGTAGTCTGATTTTTTTTGGGTTGCCCTTTGGAGACTCAGGAGTTGGACTCAGTGATCCTTGTGGGTCCCTGTGGTTCTGTGATCTTAACAGAAAATTTAAGGCCTACTGATTTAGGTAATGCACTCATAGTTTCTAGCAGTGCTTGCTTCATACCTCATTCATAGTCAAAAGAAACATAGGTTTCAGAAACAAACACAAGATCTACAAGCTTATTAGTAAAAGAATACAAATAAAATAAGAGGCACAATAAGTTTGTTTTTGTGGAGAGATCTGTATGCTGCTGATCAGAACACCATAGAACTGATCAAACTCACAGTCTACTAACAGGAGATTTATCTTTAACTCTTGGAGAGAAAAGCAGTGTTCTGTGTATGATCTTATCTTCAAAAGTCACTTAACAATTTTGCTAACAATCAAGCCTTATATATATTCCTGTAACAAATGCTGGTGAATTTTATGAGGTAATTAACTTTCTTACCAGTATGTGAACTTGCTTGTTCAAGACTTTTTTTTTGATGAAGATAGATGGTTCTGCTCTTTGAGTTGCTGGTCTTTTCTTCACATCTGAGCCAGTTTTCTGAAGTGTGTAGCATCAGTTAGGTGTTGGAAATTCACGTTCCATTAACATATTTTCAGGTGTTTTGTGTTTTTCTTTTTAACGACTTGCATCACAGTAGCTAAAGCTGCATCTTCAGTGGGTCTTATCAAGTTTCTGTCTAAATCAGGCGGCATATTTTTTCATGTGAGTTGTTTTTTTTTTTGTTCCATTTGCTATACCAGTATTCTCTCTGAGAGCAAGTGTCACCAGAAACAACTTTTTTTTTTTTTTTTTTTTTTTTTTTTTTTTTAAGTCTTTAGGATCATCTGTACTGTTACACTTCTGCAAGGTTAATAGTTTTTTAATTACTGGCTTATTTTGTTCAGGTGGACAGACTTGTGATGGAACTGGAACAGAGCCGTAACCTTAGCTGTACTATTGTACACATTGATATGGATGCCTTCTATGCAGCTGTGGAAATGAGAGACAAACCAGAGCTGAAGGAAAAGCCTATTGCAGTGGGATCAATGAGTATGTTGGTAAGGCCAAATGTTAAGCTAATATAGAAATCACTTGCATGAATTTCAAGCGTAATAACATGCAATAGTAGCATCATATAATGACACTTATAAAAATAAATGTTATGACTGTGGAAAGAAATAAGAAATAGTAGATGAACTGTCTATTCTTATGCCATGTAAGCTGGATCTTATTTTTTGGTGGAAAGTGTACTGATAAAATTTTAAAGGATGTAAGCAGACAAAGGGGAAAAATCTGTATTAATTCTCAACCTTGTCAGTCTTTTTTGTGTGGAGTTACATGATTAGGACTTGATTATTTAACACTAAACTTAAGAGAGCAAAACTTGATAACACTGAACTTACTTCTTTTCTCCTAAGTCTACTTCAAACTATCACGCTAGGAGATTTGGTGTACGTGCAGCCATGCCTGGATTTATTGCTAAAAAGCTGTGTCCACATTTAACTATAGTACCATTAAACTTTGAAAAATACGGCAAAGTGAGTAAAGAGGTAAGTCTGGAAAATGAAAACACTCTAACCAAATATGAATGTACTTTGTTTTAGACTTTACCAGTTTAGATACCATAAAAAGTAGTAGTTTAACAGAACAGACAGACAGAATGTTTGGCTTAAATGTTAACTTAAATGTTGGTTTAAATGTTAAATTCTTCAGTGACATGGATTTGAACATAAGTTAAACAAAACATGGGTGCTTTTGGGACAGGAGATGTTTTTCATTATGTTCAACCCTGCTGCAGTTTTAATGAAATCAGTAGTGATAAAGATAGCAATCTTCAAAACTGTGTAATGAGCTAGTGGTACCAGTTGAGACCTGTTATTCTTAAAATTTCAAAATCATGGCATGTAATCTAATTATTAGGAAGCTGCATGTACATAAGCAACATAGAGGTAATAATTACATATAATATATAATCATCATTTAAAATGCTAATTACTGAAGAGAGAGGCCAAGAGCATTTTTGAGTTCAAGATGCAGATTCATTTGTCCTAAAAGAAGGAACTTAAAGTGCAAACGCTTAGGGAGAAAAGAAGTTGCATCTTGGTTGAATGCAAGTAGCTTTACTTAGAACAAGGAGAAATATTTAGCATACAAAAAAATCATTTTTAAACAAAAAAGGGAAAGAAAAGAAAAATATTTTGTAGATCTTAAATTCATGCATGTTACAAGTTCCTTCATTTCAATACAATTATGCCAAGATGTATTTATATATTTACTTTTATGAAGCCTCAATCTCTTTACATAAATTAAAGTAAGCTACTGACTAATTTTAGTTGAATTTGATTCTTCTCACTTCCATCTTCAGAAAGTGTGTATAAATATTACTCTTTCAGAATAGATTTGAACTTGGTAATAATCTTGGATCTCATGATACATGCTTCATTTGTTGCTTGGGGGTAAAGTATTAAAAAATTGTAGTTGTTTTATGCTTATATTTATGTTCTTCTCCTGGGATTTGGATTGCAAACTAAATAAACTTTATTTTGTCATTAAAAGCTGAACAGTGAATCCTATTAGTAATCACGTGCAGAGAGATGAGGTGCACATGATCAAATGTTGTGATACCTAAGAATTTGACCAAAACTGGTAAAGAAAACATGATGCAGTCAATTTTTCCTCCTTTTTTTAAAAAAAAAAAAAAAAAGTTGGAGGGGAAGGGAGAAGGGGGAAAAAGTAGAGATTTTATTCTGTTGAATTTAATATTTTGTCTTTTTGGAGGATGTATTCGGCATTAAAGATTTTATGATAAGTTTGCCAGTGGCACTGACCAGTGCTCTAAACCACTGGCTGTAACTTTCATTTGGATGTAATTTAAGACGTAGATTGTCTTATCTTATATATCTGATGTCTGACAGACAGTGCACAGATGGGTAAATCAGCTCGTGCTCATTCTGAGGTTCTGCTGGTTTCCTAGATCCCTGGAGTTTTGTTCAGGTGGTTACTGCAGTGGCTGTGAACCTGGTGTCTTGTCAAGAGCTTAGTCATTGAGCTTAGTGACCAATGCAGTAAAATACAGTGTTCTGACCCCCCATTCTTGCCTATGATTGATATCTTGCTACTTGAGAGAAATAGTACTATAATTTTTCTATTTCACAAAATTATTTGTTCTGTAAATGGTTTTAATATCAATTAGTCATCTTGAAGTTTCAGAGTACATCTGTTCACCTAATAGTTCTGTGTCAAAATCTGCGTTTACATCAACAAGGTTTTAAACTTTCTCTATCGTTTATGAAGGTTAGAGAAATACTGGCTGAATATGATCCCCAGTTTATGCCTATGGGCCTAGATGAAGCCTACCTGAATATAACTGAGCACTTGGAGGAAAGACTGAACTGGCCTGAAGATAAGAGAAGATTCTTTTTCAGAACAGAAAGCACTGCTGAAAAGGGTATGCAAAATACTCTCTGTTCATGCATATAACATATGTTTCAGATAAGCTGTACCCATTAAAATACGTGTATTTAAGTCTGGATGTAATTTGTCCATGCACTGTCTACCTATTATTTGTTAGGTTACAGGTTAATTTCTGTACCAGTCACCTGTGCCATGTAATCTAATGATCTTTTGACTTAAGATCTAATGATCTTTTGACTTAAGGAGGTATAGAGTAAGTAAATTTATTGTTCTAATGTTAATTTGTAATTCACCAAAGTGTATTCTAGAATAGTACAGTGAGTCCTGTGCATCAGAAATATGAGAAATTGTTTGCAAAAACAGCGTGTGTAAGCTCTATTTACATGATTATACAAGACTAAAAATGTGTGAAGAAACGAGCACTGCAGAAGTACAGTAATGCTTAAAATATGACTGGATCTCATATGGCTCTATAAGATGGAGTTGGATCCACACCCACAACTGTGTATCCAGTTGGGAATAATAAAAAAGGAGTCATGCAAGTAGTCGATTGAAGTCGATTGAACTGGAACATTTGTACTATCAATATTCAAAAATGATCCAGATAGCCATTAAGAGGATAATGAAGGATACTGTGCTGAAAAACATCAACTGAATAGAAAGAAACAAACCGGCATTGTCTTAACAAAACAAGTATCACTGATACATAGTCATGTGCTTCTTCATACTTCTGTAATCTGTGTTCTTTTGGAGCACATGCAACATGGGTTATGTGGAATTGTAATAGTAAAGTTTATAGAGCCTGACAAAGGCTTGCTGATGGTCCTTGTTCTACAATGACTGCAGCTGAGAAGCTTGCCAGTTTGCTCGTTCTAGAATCAGATATTCCAGAATTCTAGTATCTTTGGAAAATATTGAAGAAATTTGTGCAAAGGATTTTTATTTTCCACAAAAAGGAAGCATCTGGACTTCACTCTGATGAAACAAAAATAATGCCAAAATTGTGATGATTTTCTGCTGTTGCAGCAACAAGCCATTAAACCTTGATGATTCTCTGGAAATGAAGTCCAATCTCCTAGCCAATTGTTCCAGTCTCAGCCAAATTTAAATCATATTAAGAACAAAGCAGTTGTGTTTTCATTTGAAGAAAGGAGAGTCACAATGTGATCATTTTATTTAAATAATCATACATGTTTTTTTCAAACTGAAGAAATAAAATTGATAATCAACCCATTTTCATCACAGCAGAAGGAAAATCAATGAAGTATGTGTTGTATATGGACGGATTAATTTGTTTGTTTTTCTGTGTAACCTAGATAAAGAGGATATAAATGTGTCTGGCAAACTGAATGAAGATGGATATTCTTCTTCACCTGTGCTGTTTGAAGACAACACTCCTCTGATGGATGACCACCCTGGACAAAAAGATCAGTCACTGGAAAATTCAATTGTCTTTGGAACTACTGCAGAGGAAGCTGTGAAAGAAATTCGTTTTAGGATTGAACAGAAAACTCAACTGACTGCTAGTGCAGGTATTCAAACACATAAATAATGCTTTCTATTTCCACGGTGTCTTCTACAGTCATCTCAGAGGGCATTACAAGCACAAGAAATAGGCATTGCCACAGTATTATGTTGCATAGAAATATGTCCCCTTTGAATGTCTGTAAAGACTGATTTTCAGGTTTTTCAAGAAATTTTATGGCTATCAAAGCCACTCCTATTTTTTTAATCATAGAAACAGTCATAACTTTATTGAATTAGAAGTACTGTAGAAGAAGTCACCAGGGGGTTTAGGAGCTAATCTTAGCACTGGTGGTACTTGTTTTAGTGCCTCCTGTAAGTTGTATCCATAAGCTTGTGGTTGTAATCTGTAACCAATTGCTAAATTGTTGTTAGTTTGAATATTAGATGCATATTGCTACTTCTAACAGTTTTCCCACACTGTTCCTTGCTTAATACAGTATTGAAATTCATTAAAAAGCTAGTTCTTGGAGAATTAGATGTATTGAAGTTAATAAAATATTCAGTAGCTTTTTAATATTTAACCATATCAGTTTTCTGTCTTTTGTCTTCAGACAACCTACCTGTAAATCTCAAATGTTGTGATAACTGTTGTGATGATAATCTGGATTAGATCCCTAATGAAAATAAAAAAGAGTATGTTCTTAGCAGTTGTGGAAGGCAAGGGAAATTTCAAACTAAGCAGAGGTAAAGGAATGGATAGTAGGTGGAAGCAGATGAAATGCCCTATGTGTTACTTCATGAATGGTGGCAAAATAATGTTGTTCTTCTGAAATGTTCTTATTTTTGTTCTTATGAAATTCTTGTCCTCTTCCTGAGGAGAAGTTCCTGTTTAGAAACCAGATACAGCTTTTATAAGTGCATCCGGGATTTTATGCCCCTAAACCAAAAATGGTTAGAAGGCTAATTGAAGAATACTGATAAGTGATAATAAAATAGAATTACTTCTGCCATCTTGACAATTATAACAAGAAGCAAATAAAACTTTAGACCACTAGGGCTGTTGTACAGTAATAGTGTTTTGTTTGCTAACCAATTCCATAGTTCATTTGTTGGGCCAGTTGTTTCAACAGAAAGGAGTAACACCTCCTTATTCCTTCTAAACAGCATCAGTGAAATCACGGAATCACAGAATTGAAGGAGTTGGAAGGGACCTCAAAAGATCACCAGGTCCAACCCCCCATAATGTTGTATCAGTTTGAAAACTTGAGACAGCTCAGTGTTGTGTAGTCATCTGTCTTAAAATGCTGAGAAGATGGGGCTGCATTCATTTCCAAACTGGCTGTCATAAAGGCCTTAAACTTTGCAATATTTATGCATTTTTAAATTCTAAATAATTTCAGCAGTGGTAGTCTGCAAAAGACTAGTTTGGTAAATTTTGCCAAAATTGCTGTAGTATTTTTACTGAGCTGTAAGAAAAAATCTCCATCACATTGAAGTTTATTATAACTATTGTTATAGGTATTTCCTTTGTCTTACTATAATCACCATCATAAAATTGTTCAACCATTTAGCTTGTGGTATTTTTAAAACACTTGTTATTTAATCCCTTGTGACTGATGACATGTGCATGTTTTGTTACCCTCACTGTCTCAAAATAGTAGGCACACTTTATCTGATACATCAAGTATGTTTAAACTACCATATGTATCTATGTTCTCACATTACAAAATTTTTTTGCTGGATTTTAACAAATCTTGTTATCATTAGTTACTGTTCTTTTGCATTTTCTGAATATGTAGGCTATTCTTGTGCTCTTAAATACTGAATTATTTAAATTTTGTCTTTTATTTTTTAAAAATGTTTTTTTTTCTTTGTGTTTAAGGAATAGCTCCGAATACAATGTTAGCAAAAATGTGCAGTGATCGTAATAAACCTAATGGGCAATGCAGAATTTCTCCAGAGAGACAAGCTGTGCTAGACTTCATAAAAGATTTGCCCATTAGAAAGGTAGGAGAAATCATGATGTTTATCATTATGTTCCTTTGTATTCTAAATGAAAGATTTTTCACTGAAGAAATATATTTTTCTAAGTAACCTGCCCAGTTGTGTTGATTTAACTGTTTTTGGTATGGGACACACAAATGTAAAGTTTCCAATTTTAATGATTTTTTTTTTCCAGGTACCAGGCATAGGAAAAGTAACAGAGAAGATGTTAAAAGCACTTGGAATTGTGACTTGCTCAGAACTTTACCAGCAGAGGGCACTGCTTTCTCTTCTTTTTTCAGAAGCATCTTGGCGTAATTTCTTGGATATCTCCCTTGGGTTGGGGTCCACACATTTGGAAAAGTATGCTTTGTTTTTGTTTATTCTTTCCTGTGTTTACTGTTCCCTTGTGTGTGTTGCACACTGTACATTTTAAGACACATTTTATGACCAAAAAAAAAATTATGAATATTATGAATGTTTAATTGTATTCTTTTTAGGTCTCTGACAAACAATATTGTTATACTTATGGATAAGATAAAAAAAAAAAATGCTTTTAATGTTTAGCTGTTTAGTGTAACAGGAATGTCTAAAATATGAAATCCCAAACTCCTGTCGGAGAAGCAGTGAATAAGTGTATATCAAGAGATCGAGTCAGTATCATTTAGGATAACCTCAAAATTACCAAAGTAGCTAAAGAGAAATTAGTTATTTATCCAAAGCTGAGATGTTCAGTCCTGTTTCATCTATGAATATAACAGATATTGATTTTTTTTTTTATTCGGTGTTGTACAGTCTGAGAAATCTCCCACTGCATTTTTAAAAAAGTAATATAATAACAAAAGGAGCATGTCAGAAGCCAAGGTTATCGCTGTTAAGGAAAACATATTTTTAATGTTGTGGTCTAAAAAAACTGTTTGTTTGACTTTTATTAGCAATAACTTGATTTCAGTGATTTTTAATGTGGAAAAAGCAAGCCCTTGACATATGAACATATGAGTTCTCAGCAAGTGGTTTGTCTTATAGTCATTGTCTTTGACAAGCTTTTATGAAAATCTAAGGATATCAAATTTGTTATTTCTGAAGAAGGAAAAAAAAATGAAAATAAAAGGACATACAAAGAAAATGCTCTAAGGATATCCTTAAATACAGAACCATTTTTAAGGGATGCTTAATTAAAACTGGAAGGAGGAGAAAAAAAAATGTATTAGCACATCACCTTTAGCATGAGCAGTAATTTAGACAGAATGCAAATTAATTCCTTGGATAAACAAATATTCAAATATGCATAGTATGTTTGGGATTTTAATAGCTGTACTTCAGTTATACCAAGGTGAGTTAGTATAGGATTTTTAGTTTTGTTGTTAAGTGTTTCCATCTGATAAGAAAGAGCAGATTTATTTTGTAAGCTATTAACTTTTACTGACATCTGATCTATGTCTTTGTTACCTCTTCAGTAGGTTATTTTATTAAAAATACATACATATATATCCTTTGTACTCTATCAAACTCAGTGTACAAGATTTGCAGAAAACGTTAGCATCCAGATTTTCTATAAACATTTGCTGTTATTTATTGAAGTATGATCGGCTGTCTCAGAGTTTATTGAAAAGATAACAGTTTGAGGTAAAGTGAGTTTATTAATTTGTTTTTCTCTTTAAAGGGATGGAGAAAGAAAAAGTAGGAGCACTGAAAGGTACACCTTTTTAATATTGGAAAAAAAAAGTTTATTAATCACTAAACTTAATTAATGCCCATTAATGTATGGTTTTGTTAGCCATATAATTTCACTGTATATTTACATGTGTTAAAAAGCTCACCGTGTGTACACCAAGCTCACTACATCTGATTCAGGCTTTTTTTTTTCTTCCCCACCCTTGGCTTCAGAATATTAGGAATTTACTCCTGTTAGTTTGTGTGTTTTCTTTTGTGTGTTTGTGTGTTTTCTTTTCTCCTCATCTGCTTCTCATGTTTTTAATGCTTCAAAGTAGTCTTTATGCCATAATGTAGGGTGAAAATACATAAGGGCTTTAATTTTTTGTATGCTTCCATTTAATGCCAACATTATCTAACAGCCTGCAGTCACGTAGATAGCAAGTCTAGTGTAATGCAGATTTGAAGGCGCTAATTTTGCATGGATAACTGAAATTGTTACATTCCCTAACTCTTAACTTCTTAGCAATGTAACTTCCGTTAAGAAGGGAATGTATGGCATTGTTTAAAAGTGGGCTTCTGGAAAGAAGTTCTTCTTCAAAGAGAATCTGCAGAGAGCTGTAATAATTATCTCTACACTCATCTCAGAAAAGCAGATAAGGTTCATATTCTTATTGAGACAGAATAGTTTTGGGCAGCTTACGCACTGTAGGGTTTGGTTCCACCAGAGCTGATACATTTATAGCTGTAGTGTTGCTCTGGTTTGCAGGCTGACAGATAATCTGGGCAGTCTGTTGTACTTCTCTGGTTTTTCATTCCTTCCATCTCCTGAGAGAGGTGGGTTTAGACTAGAGACATCAGTGGGCTGCCTGGAATATGGAACTAGTTTATATGGGGTGAAGAGATGGTCCTGAAAGAGCACTCTCTCTATACTGCCCCTTCCAAATTTACAACTCTTACAACTTCCCATATACTGCAGCCTTGCAATGCTGCATTGTTAATCACTGCATTGTTGCTGGTATAACTTCAGTTGCTCTTTGGATAATGGACCTAAAGTGAAATACTCAGCCTGCTAGTTTGGCAACATGCAAACATTCTTAGGAGAATGTGAATTATACTGGAGGATGACTTTGCAATGTGATCTTGTAAACTTGAATATAACTTTGAGACATGAAAATCAGTGTAACTATAGGGACTTTACACTCATAAATATAAATAAATGTCAACCCTGGCATGAAACAGTGTATCTGTGAGACTTTTCCAAAACTATCTGACAGCTTTAAGTTTTGATTCCAACTTCACTTGAAACCACTGCTCACTGAAGGTGTTGCTTTTCCCTTTGTGTTATTCCTAAAGAGCAGATGCATTAATAAAAAATAATACCGTAATTCCCCTGATGAGAAGCAAAGACAGTTAGCAACATATTTGGCAGAAAGCTAGTTTTTACTCCTCTATAGCTATCCATAATTATTGTAGCTGGCATCTTTTTCTTAGCATCTGCAATATTTATTTCTGACACTTGGCTCTGATGCTGACTTTCTAATCCTTTCTTTCTTGTGATGTTGCACAGCAGTGTACAAAGGAGATTACATACAAATTACTTGGCTACCTCCATGAATTCACAGTTGGTGTTAGTATTCTCCCTTGCAAATACTTAAGTATTAATGACCTTGAATCTTACACATTTTCAACTACTGCATGAAAAGTTGATCTGCTGAATTATTTCATTATTTGAAGGGTTTGGAAATATTTTGAGGCACATAAATGAGCATAAATCTTTTTGTACAATATTTGCATTAATATTAATTTTTCCTTCTGAGGAAACTCAAAGGAAATTCAATCCAACTCTTCTAATGTAGATTTGTTTAACTGTTCAAGAAAACTTTTTAGATGGCAATCACTGAACAAGCTTTAAAATTCATTCTGAAAAAGACTTTACTTTTATCTTAGGACATTCAGTGAAATTAACACAGCAGAAGATCAATACAGCTTGTGTCAAGAACTCTGCAGAGACCTTGCTCAAGAGTTACAGAAAGAGGGACTTAAGGTATTTATTGTTCTGTTTACTGGTAAAGGGACAACACTTTGCACTCAAGCTGATAAAATGTAGTATTAGCATGAATGCTTTCATCAGGATCATACCATGCAATCTATCATCAGAAGATTAATTTATTTAATTTGCAGATAGAATGTGTTAGACAGCATTTTGGGTTTGTTAGATGGCTGTGCTCTGGTCAATCATGTAATCCTAGTGTATCTAAAACACTATGTTTCCCTCGTGTCTTCATGTAGGATCCAGTCAATGGTAGTCTAGTTTAAAGAGCTCACGTCCCAAACTTGGAAGTGATTTATTCATACCATTAAGTGGTATGAATGGTACGAACAGCACTTGTATTCCTTCTCCCAAGTTTCTGTTTTTTTTTTTTTTTTTTTTCTGGAAAGAACAGTTCATATTTCCCATAGAGGTTTTCATGGTAAACCAAGGAATAACATTTGAGACCTGAAAGAATTCTTACTAGTCCTCTTCTGACATAAAATATTCTCAAAAAATGTTAGGTTAAGAGGGAAATTAAAAAAAGAACAACAAAGTGATAAGCTTGCAAAGGCACCAGAGCAAAAGGAGTGCTGTTTATTTGCATTTGGATGGACATGCTAAGTAACACAAACATTTTTGAAGGTGTTGCCAGGGGAATATCTGTGCTATACATAGATGTTGTGTGTTGGTTTGCTAGCACAATGGGGGAGGAAGTTTTCAGTGGATCCTTAATTGGATATCGCTTATACATCCTTAATAGTTTTCCCAGAAAAATTAAGATATCTGGCACTGAAAGTTTCCAAGTGAGGAAGTAATTTTTGGTTGACAGAATAGAAGTTGTGACTGTAGCCAGAGCATGAAATCTATTGAACAAGAGCTGTTGGCAGATGGTCTGCCAGGGACCGTTGCCAAATGACCCAGTTTAGAGAATCTGACTTTGGCAGCAGTTTAACAGCAAGTGCAAAATCTTACAGTCAAATTTTTGGCAGTACCCCTTGCTGTACATAGATAAGCACAAAGTCTTGACTATGGCTTTAAGATGCTTATATAGATGCTACATAATAATTGTTTCTGTGCCATATACTATATGTGTAACTTTTTTTTTTTCTTCATAGGGTAAAACTGTTACCTTGAAGCTAAAGAATGTGAACTTTGAAGTAAAAACAAGAGCTTCAACAGTGCTGTCCTCTGTTTCTACTGAGGAGGAAATATATGCTGTTGCTAAGGAGTTGTTAGGAACAGAAATTGATAGCGTTGCTCCTCAACCTTTAAGGATAAGACTTATGGGTAAAACTCTTCCTTTTAAGAACTAGATCTTATTATGAATCAAAGTAATAGACTATACTCTAAAGTAAAACTGTTGTAAGTGGTTTTACCCTTTCTCCATTACCCTAGTGTTTTTTGCAAAGTGAAACAGCTTTGGAGTGCTGAATAGTGATTAGAATGTTTTGCTAATTGAGGTTCTACCTTTCTTACCACCTGATAGCCTTGGAACAACATACATGCTGACATGAGAGAGAATCTTACTTCATTGCAGTTGTTAATTCTGCTGCCTTAAAAAATCTGCTTTGCACTACAGCAGCAATTATTTCCTATATGTAACCTCCTTCAGAAACGAACGTTTTAAATAAAAGTGCTTAAATTTAAAGGTACCATGTTCTGAAAGAAATTTGAAAAATTCTGCCAGAAGTAAACTCTGTGTTTTGAATCTAAGACCTGTACATTTCAGGTGCTTATATATTCTCTTGTTTGAACCATTTAGTGTTATATAAACCATAGTTGTAGTATCAGAATGTGCTGAAGAAAAAAAAAAATTGATGTGGAAACCTGATGCAAAACTGTCTTTCAGACTGAATCCTGCATAACTGTTAAGTTTATAGCCTCACTTTATGGTGCAATTAGTTAACACTTTGTGGGTATTGAAATTCATAATAATGTTGGGTAGGTTTACAGGTCTGATAAAATTGTGTGGACCATGTGATCCATTGTTAGCATTTGCAAGTACTATAGTTTCTGTTTAGAGGAAAAATGCATTTTTATTGAGTGGTTGCATACATCTCAAAAATGTTAATTATCAATTTTTCATAAAATTGGTATTATAATGTATAACTTTGTTTTTCATCATTAGGTGTACGAGTATCAGGATTTCTAAGTGAAGAAGAGAAGAAATACCAACAAAAAAGCATTACAAGCTTCTTAAAATCAGGGAAAGGAAATGGTTTTCTTAGGCTTCAGCCAGGGAAATCCAACCATGAAAATTTCACAAAAAATTCAGAAGCATCTTCCAGAGAGAGTTTTTTTGATAAAAAGCGAGCTGCAAGGCAATTCAAATGTGATAATGTTGTTCCAAATGAAAACGTAGGTAAGCAGCTCTTTCATGATATAAAATCAACGGCAAATTTTGTGGAAGAAACAAACAAGATCACAGACTTACAAAATTCCGATGTGTGTGAGATCTTCACCTGCCCTGTTTGTTTTGAGGAGCAAAGCAGTACTAATTTGGAAGAGCTTAATAGGCATATTGATGAGTGCCTTGCTGGGAGTCATGTTAAAGATACTGTGAAAATATCAAAGAATGACAATTCAAGAGAAGATACACTTAACTTTTTTCCACATTGTAAAAATGAGAATGTTGAAGCCTGTAAAAAAAATAAAATGAATCAATTAGGAGGAACAGGCCAATCAGCAAGTGCACCTGACAACTCTGCTAGCAATTGCACAGAGAGATTCACTCAGATAATATCTGATAAATCTCACAGAGAAAGACAGCCTGGTGATCTCAGTGCTACTGCTGGAAACGCATGTATAAAACAGTGTCTCTTTCCCAAAAGAACTTCACAAGAGGATGCAGAACATTTTGGAGAGACAGAACATACAGAAGAAACTAGTTCATCCTGTTACTTTGAAGCCAAAGAAGACAATGTTCTTGTTTGTCCAGTTTGTAATTCAGAACAGAAAGCCACCAGTCTTATGTCATTTAACAGACATGTAGATGTCTGCTTAAATAAAGGCATTATCCAGGAGCTGACAGAAAAAAATAATTGTCCTGCTAAGACTCGTGATACGGAAAATTTAAACAGACCTGGTGAGTATGCACATTAAGATGGATTTGGTTATTCGAATTATCTTCCTGTGTAATGGCAATAATTTGGGAGTGGTACACTTTGAGCTTTTCAGGACTTGGATGTTTTTACAACAAGCTAATTGGAGTAAGGTCTTTATAAGAGAAAACACTTCTGTTTAAAAAATATTAAATCAGTTTTTCTGATAAACTAGCATTATAAGAGAGGTAGCTACACAGCGCATCCTCATTTGTAGCAATGGTAGCACAGGAATTACTGATCATCTCTGTGCATGCTGTGTCTGTTCTCTCTCCCTCATCATAATCAGAACGGTGTTCGTAAGCCCACAAATATTTAGGTGAAAGTTAGTGAAAATATTTTTAACCTGGATCATTTAAGAGATTTAGTTGACAAAATAGTTCCATTTATGTACTAGCAAAAACAAGTTGTGAACTAAGCCATAAAGGCAAGAAATTGAAACCAAGCTTTTCATCCTTTCTTTTTTTTTTTTTTTTTGATGAGGGGTTAATCTTTGGCCAGATTGTAGGACGCATGGAGTTATTTAACTATCTGCTTGAAGTACCTTGTTCCTAATTTAACTTGGGAGCTTTATATCAGGAAATGCTAGAACACAGTTAAGAATTACAGTACAAATATTTTACAAAGCAAATTTCAGAAGTAGTATTGTTTTACATGTGCAAACAGACTATTTTAAATGAAGTCTCCTATTGGCAAAGATTTTTTCCCTTACAGGATAAAGAAAAAAATAGTTTGCAATAACCACCTTGAAAATCAACTCCATTATGCTAAAATATTTCTGAAAACTACAAGGTTCAAGTTAATCACTTAGAATTCAATAAATTAAAGTGTTTTGTTTTGTTTTTCCCTCTTAAAAAAGAAAAGAAAGTTAAGAGAAATTACAGTACTTAAACTGCAGATAATAAAATGTCATCTGCACCTTAACACAAATTCAGTTTGGGTAGTATCAGAAAAAAAAAACGGGAAGAAAAAACCTCATCCAAAACTGTTCTTTTAAATGTTCTGCTATGTATGTAACTTCTGCATCATTCTTTCTTTACTAAAATAATTTATTTTGGTTGTTCCCAATTACTCTTCAGGAGCTTTAAGCAGAGGACCGCAGTGCACAAATCCATTGCAAGGAACAAAAAGGTAAGGGTATTCTGGAAACTGAGTACTCAACTCATATTTTAAAATAATCAAGTTTAAAAAAAAATCCGTGTTAAAGTTGTATAAATGTATATTTTTCCTTTTTTTTTTTTTCTCTCTATAGGTCTGGATTAACAACTTCACAGTCAGTATCGAAAAAAGCCAAGTCAAGCAATTCCAAGCATACAATTGAAATGTTTTTTAAATGACTGTGTGACATCATCCTCCATATGAAGTATTTCATAGCATTTTAAGACTGAAAATTAATTTAGCATTGGTGGTAGGCTGGATTCATGTAGAATCTAGCTGGATTCACACAGGAGCCATTGCATACCTGTGATGCCTGTGCAAAAAGAATATTATGTTTGAAGCTGAAGAAGAGATACAACTGAGGTCATTCAATTATTTTGAAAAAAAAAAATATATATTTTTTTCAGTTTCTGAGAATTGAAATTTGCTAGCACTTTGTTTATACTGAATATGTAAAACTTTGTTAGAGTCAGCAGCAGTCTCATGAATTGCCTTTGCAATGGAACAGGTTTATTAGAGCTGCCATGGAGAAAGTCTGCAGGGCAAGCTCCCAGGAAAGTAGGAGTCATTAGCTAGGGTGCCACATGGTGCTTGCTGATGGCCCTTTACCTAGATCTGGCCTGCCATCCTCTCTGCAAGGCAGAGAGTTGGACATGGCAAAATTAATTTGTGTTACTAGCTGTGTGATAACACAAAAGAGCTGAGTTGCTTGATTTCAGATCTTACGAATGTCTGATTTGTCAGTGGACACAAAAACTGATTAGTCTTGCAGCTTCAAAAAAAAAAAAAGATCAATATTTCAGGGCATGGTCAAGCTTTCATTGTTGTCACTGAAAATGACTTCAGTAAGAGGTGACGGACCAACCGTAAAGAGCTTACTGTGGTGAGGTGCCAGATGACTTCGCTGATACTAAAAATATTAATAAACCAGATGATGGAAAAAGGATGTCTTCAAAGAAAGTCAAACAAAGTCTGTTTGATCCTTGTCCTTTCCAAGGAGACTGAGAACTTCAGTTTTCTTTTCAGTCATTAAATTGGTACCTGTCAGTGGGACTAAATTTACTATAAGTAAATATGTAATAATAATAATATGAGTAATTTATAAATATACAAGATGCTGAAATGAAGAAAACTTATTGTTTAACTATCTTTATTTATAATTATTTTTTATTTTTGAATACATGATATTTTATGAATATACGTAAGGAGGAAACTGTAAAGTGCAAATACTTAAAGTACTCTGTATAGATATTCTGTTTACACCAATATGCTTAAATGTAGACATTTTATGATAATAATTTATGATGATAGCTTTCTTAGAATTTATGCAATAATAAACCTTTGATGAAATATATTTTTTTAAATGGGATAATCTTTAAAATTGCTACAATAAAAGTGTCTATCCTGTTGCTTAACTTTATGGGTATTACTTTGGGGTTTGTATGTTTTTTAAAACAAACAAATGTCTTCCCTGGTATGCTCAGGCTAAGTTCAGAATGTACTTTTTCACTTTCAAACTTGTTGGAATGATTTCACTATCTCCACCTGCTCATCTCTGTTTGCCAGATGCCACTGTACCTGCAGCTCTGTTATTTGAATTCAGTGCTCTCTAATCTGCTTTGGGCCAAATTAGTTGATCTAGTTCAGACTACTCTGTAGGCTGAGACGGTCAACTTTGTCTAAACAAGGTCAATGAGCAATCAGCATTTAGCTGTTCTGCTGACAGAGGTGGGAGCTGGAAAGTTCTGGTAGGGAAGACATAAACGCAACAGAGGGAGCAATGACTTAAGCTACCACTGCAGTTTAGATAGTGAGCACCTGTCCTTCTATTGATTTAAATCTCTCTAATTCAATAAAGTGTAGAATCTGAATGTTATCTTGTCATTGTGTGCATATGTTCAAAATTTGTAATTTTACATGTGCATTACTCAGCAAAAGAAGGAAACACCTTTATGTGCTTGAACAAATGAAGCTTAAAGGATTGGCTTAGCCTGGGAAGTGGTTTTATCATTTGTTCTAAAAAAGGTGTCATAGATTTATCTTTGAATATCATAATGTTAAAATCATGGAGTATGTTAAAGTTAATATGGAAATAAAGCTCTCATTATAATTCTAAAGCCAGGAATGTCTTGTTTTTTGAGATGTGTATAAAATACACTTTTTTGAAAGGTATTTGGAAAGGTATACATTCTGTATGTATACAGAAAGTGGCTGGTGAGATTCTTCTAATGTTTTCCATCTAAAGCATCTTTGTAACTCAGAACTGTATTTTATATTCTTTGTGATTTCTTATACCATGTTTATTACTGTTTTTATCTGAAGAAGTCCTTCAGTTCAGGATTAGAAGCTTCTGTGATGTGTGTTTTTTCTTCCAAGTTCTTGTGGAGAAAACTATGTAAGCAGTATGTTTGTTCTGGATTTTTCTGTCACTGTTATTCTCTATTGGTAATAACTTAATTTAACTTTAACTTAAAATCTGCTTTCATTAGCATCTGGAAAGTCTTTATAGCTTGCCTGTGTCTAACAATTTGTGAAGTATTTCCTTTGAGAACCATTCCATACTTGCTGCATTCACAGTCCTGAAACACATGGATGCTCTAGGATGGCTGCAGATGAGAATTTGTCGGTAGTGTAGACTTCTCTGATCTTAATGTTCTTCTGTCCACCACTTCTGAGGAAAAGAATGTGGGCAGCATATGCTTTGACCAAAGCATTTATTTGCAGGGAAGGAGTAAGTTTTGCTATAAGTGGGACAGACACAGAGATGACTCTCAGAACAACTTGCTTGAGTTTATCTTGTAAATCTCAGCACCTAAAAATTTAGACTATAGAGTAGCATTCTCCTATATAATGTTTCCTGCTGTCGTAGTATCTTTATTCACTCACGGGTTGTGAAATACTTGTATACAGAGTGTCTTACTGCCAGATGTCACAATGACCCATTTTGTTTATTAGTTGTCTGGCCTGGGTATCTCAAAATCTTTATTGCTGGAAATGTACCTGATAGGAATACATAAATACTTTTGGGTATGACATTTTGTTCTTAAAGTTGCTGAAGTTCCACTTTGAAGTGGCAGTAATTCTACAGGTGGGAACATCAGCAGCGCAGAGTTTGGGCTTGGATTGCTCTGCCATTAACTTGATCCATTTTGGCGTTATTACAGAGTTTATCCTCGTCTCTGTCTCACATTGCAGTATGTATATCCAAGCAAGAGATTGTATCACTGGAGCTGTCAAGGATCATACTGCCTGCAAAGTGAGCCTAGGGGAGCAGCCTGCAGATGCCCGAGTTTGTTGTCCAGCTGGTGTTCTGAGGTATGGTTCTGCCATACCTTTACTTTTTTCTGTTTGTGTAAGTGGGCACCTGTTGAGACTGGGCCTCCTTGCTTCATTGTTCTAAGCAGTACTTCTAAGGAAAAGCAAGCTGCAACAGGTAGCTGTAACCATAAGAGATGAAGAGAGCAATGAGCACAACTGCAAGGCACTGTGGGTGCCCAGGCCAACAATTTGTGCACCACGTAAAAGTGAAGGAGATGTTCCAATAGTCCCTTTGTCCACACTTTATTATGGATTCTGCACCAGCCTTTTATGCAGGTTGCTGTGGGGCCCTTTGAAAGAGTCAAGGAAGTGGGTAAAGAATTTGTATTTGCGAAGTCTGAGAGCATAAAATATAGCTGTACTGGGACAGGTAGGAGAACACGGACATGCTGTGAAATAAGATTATCTGATAGTAATTAGAACCTGGAACTGACAGCTGTTTTTACCAGGCTATATGTAAAATTATGGTCCTGGCTTAAGGATTCATGTTTCCTACTTTAGGCCAGTTGTGTGAGATGAACTGAGTAATTCAAAAGTTGTGCCATTTTGAGAAGGAGGATTAATGTTCCGAACAAGGGTCTGTATTACCAGCCCAGTCATCACACAGAAATAAACCTCTTCCTCTTAAGAAGTTACACTGGAATGTTTGACTCACAGGAAGCAAGTAAAAGTGAAATCTCTATGATTCAGCTATAGCTAAAACAGTTGTTTGTTCTTTCTAATCTGGGTTTGTTTTCACACTTTGTTTTATTTATTTATTTATTTATTTATTTATTTATTTTATTTTAATTTTTGGCTGAATAACATTTATGTACTGCAAGTACTGACAAAAAAAAAAAATTCATCTAGTTAGTTCAAGGTGTATGCGACTCTATTAAAGATGTTCAAAGGTGAAGAGAGCTGAATTATGCTCACACAGTGTCACGGTCTTTTCTGCTTCTCTGGCTGGGGGTGCACCCGAAGCTGGGAGGGGACACAGGGCTGCCATTGCTCAGGGACTGGCTGTGATCAGTCAGCTGGTGGTGAGAAATTGAGTGGTGCATCGCTGCTTTTGGGTATTCTTTCCCTTTTAAAATTTTATTTCCCTCCCCTCCCTTCCATATTAAACTTATTTATTTATTTATTTCCCCCCCTCAACTCTCTCCCTCGTTCCAGTGGTGGGAGGGGTGAGGGAACAGCTGTGTGCTCTGCTGAGCTGCCTGCTGAGTTAAACATCACCAGACTTTGCTTGATGGACAAACTTTTGAGTTGTTCAGGTTAAATTTGCTGTGGACACAAGTAATCTGAGAGGTTAAGACTGTAATTTAATTACAAAAAAAGAAGAAAAAAAGAAAATTATAGTGAAGGAACTCTATGTCTTCAATTGTGTAAGGCAGAGGAATGATAGTTCTGTGTTCTTTGGGCTACTTTTCTGATATTTTATTTTAAATGTCAGCAATAACAGACACTAATTTTAAAGTAAAATTTAACTTAGTCACTCACATTAAAAGTCAGCAATTTTTATGCCCTATTTCAGGTAATGATTACCTACATGAAATGAAAAAATCCGTTTAAGCAAACCAAGGTAAATATCGATCTGGAATTCAAGACAAACAGAATTTTCTGATTAGATAGATTATGTCAGTTCACTAAAACTGAGCCTTTGGTGATGTAAATACTGATTGATTTTGCTAGACCTAGACAAAGATGAGCAACAGTGATGTCTGCGTGACAATTAACTGAAAGTCTTGTGACTGGATTAATTACAACTGTTTCTGCTACAATGTGCACATTTCTGCTCAGATTCCTGCCAGAAGCGCCCCGGTCTCTTGCATCCCCAGAGCATGCCATGCTTGCGGGGGTGTCTGCGATCCACTAACCTTGTCCTAACACAGAATAACTTTGAGAGCAACAAAAGGGCCTTCTGGAAAGGCCGAATCTGGTGGAAGCTGGGCTGATGTGGCCGGGTGATGGTGTGCTGCTGCCTGCAGCCTGGCTGGGTGTGCTTGAGTCAACTCAGAGCCTCAGGAACCGGTTTTTCGGTGCAGCAGGGAAAACACACCCCAGGCACCTCCCTCGGCAGCAGGCATGGGGCTCCTTCCCTCAGGGGAGGAGGAAGAGGAGCTGCCAGCCATGATGAAGGGGCTGAGCCACCTGTTTGGTGCCAGGGAGGATGTGATGCATGGAGAAGCGGCGGCCAACCACAACAGCTGTGAGTGTGTGGGGACTGACGGGAGGTCTGGCTTCCACGCAGTGACCCCTGAGCATTGTGCTGGGAAGCGAGGAGCTGTCGGTGTGAGATCCCGAGTGGGGTTTGGTGCATCCATCTTCCAAGAGACAGCGTGTCCTGCCATCCGCCTGGCACCCTGCTTTAACCCAGGTTGTCCAAGAGTGCTTGCTGGGGTTAGCACATGCTTGAGGTTAAGCACATGTAAAGTTTCACAGCCAACAAATGCCTCTGCGTTGTGTGGGGACACACACGGCGATGGGAGGGAGTTCTGGTCTCGTTGCACTTGGTGTGCTCTGTACTGACGGTAGACTCAAGATCTTATCTTGCAAGCTGGTCTGTGAAAGAACAGTCCACAGCAGCGTGGGCTGCAAATAGTGAAAATGGGTTATTTGTGGAAACTGAATGGTAATTATTAAACTCTGCTGTGACTGTGTCCTGTGATTTCAGTGTGATAGTCACTGAACCCTGTTCTGGGTCATGCTTCCTGTTTCCAGGCTTGCAAGAAGGGCAGATAAAGAAAAGCAGTGAATAAAATATCACTGTTGGATTCAATACAAAATTTTCTCATGACTTCTTTGAATTGAAAAATTATTAGTTTGGTAAAAGATTCATGTGACCCTATAAAACATCTACGTTAGTCATTTTGTTTTCAGTTACAAACATGAAAATACCAATAAATAACCACAACATCAAATAAGTGATTTTTTTTTTTTTTGAAACTATACAGTGAAAATAACTGGAATAATTTTGTCATTTTTATGTTTTCCTTCTTTAGAATTCTTCAGCCAATTCCAATTTCTGTTTGTTTCCCTTGTTCTTTTGAAGATAATGGCAGATTTCACATTATGAAATCTGCCATTTATACTCCTACAAGAGGAATATAAAAGTAGGGGGAAAGAGGGAAAGATATAAATTTATAAAAAAAGTATAAATTCCTTATGATCCTGTCTGTGAGTAGTGAAATCTACGGTTCATTTTTTACTTTAGTGGAAACAGTCCTTGGTTGTTCTGTTACTCAAAGATGGATCAAAGCCACCTACTGTGAAGTGAGACTTGAATATGAGGAAATTGAAGGTATTTCAAAACTTGAGTTTCTGTTGAGGAGGACTTTCTGTTTTCAGGTCAATTGAAAGTTGAAGTAAACTGCCCGTTTACGTGCCTTCCCAAGAGAAAAGAAAGATTGGGTTATTCAGCACTCTGTATTAAATCTTAGTATGCATTCTTTGTAGATAGGACTGTCTGAAAAGGAAATCAGCTGTTAAAATTAATATTTTTACTTACCTCAAAAGTAAAATTGAAAATAAAATACAACTTCTTATGAAACCTCTAAGGCATTGAGTCAAACTTCTGGGAAGAAGTGAAGGAAAACAACTCAAAATGAGTGACAGCTGCAAACGGTTAGTGGATTGCTGCCTCTGCTTGAAAATCAAGTGATTAGTAATAATGCAAGAAGTGCCAAATTCTGGAGACCACAGCTTAGATAGAAAGCTTCCATAAATCTGTAGTCTGACAGCCCTATGCTCTTGTAATTTCATGCATGAAAAAAAATCATTTTGCAAAAGCAGCAAAAAAAAAAAAAGAAAGCAAGCACAGTGGTGTGTCTAGATTGCTGCTGTTCTTGGTTCTCTAAGAAGTATTAAGAGAGAGAGACTGCTAAGAAACATAAAACCTTGAGGGAGGAAATAAAGTCTAATTTTTAACAGTGTATTTCCAGTTCATGACTTCCACACAGGAGAGAAAAATCAGTCATCAATTCTTTGTTTGAGCTAAAAGCAAAACTGTCCTTGCTGTGCAGAAACAATAAAATAAAATAAAAGCACTGCTTCCTCTTGTTTCTTGAAGGCGGAGTAAGTAAACTGCTGGGATTGTTCCTGAATGCCCTGGGATGCAACAATTATCTTCGCATCTTCGTGTAAGACACATATGCGAATGTTCATCAGCAGACAATAGCAATGAATGTGGCAGAACTGTAACTAATTGCCGTTATTTGTTGCAGAAAGTTTTATTTCCACATTTGCCACAAACGTGCTTTGAACAAGATATCCTACAACCATTTGTTACCCGTGTTTGAAATCAAGGGAGTGGAAATACTTAATTCTGGGTATAGACGATGAAAACTACAAGTGAGGCATTTATTCTGCAAAGACTGCTGTTCGCAATGCTGATTTTTCTGCCAGCCACACTCCTTGTCGAAGATGCCAGCTGAATGCAACTCCCTTGACACACAGTCTGTTTGAAAACTTGAAAATAATGTGTTTTAGACACAGAGAAATCAAAGAAATAGGATTAACTCTATGATACCTGTTTGTTTGTTTTGTATGAGTCTAGACAAGTATTCTGGGGAAACATCACTTTAGCCTGGTCCAGTTCATACACTCTCCTCAAAGGATCTTCTGCCAGCTGCTGCTACAGGCAGAATATTGGTGCAAAGGGACTTTTGCCCTAACTGGGAATGACCACTCTATTATAATAACATACCACTGTTTTGGTGTGAAAGCTGGTTATTGCCTTTAATGCTTGAAAGTTAACACGGTCGTCTATAGCAGTATTGTTATTTATCTATTTAGTCCAGTGGTGCATTTTTATGTTCAACTGTTTATTTTTTTGGTCTTTTCCCTCATTTTATAAGACAAGAAAAACTCTTCTGTGATTTCAAGGGACTTTTGGGAGGATGCTTCTGTAGTTTGAGGTGCTTGGCTAGTGTCATAAAAAAGCAGGAAACCATTTTGGAACTGTCCAGTTTGGTTTCTAGTTTGTTTTGTACAGTACAACTGTGGTTATTTCCACTGAGATTATAATCACAGATAATGCGTAAGATGCAATTAAGTGACTGCCATACTGATTTTCTTTAGTATACTCTGCAGCCGTACAGCCTCAACTGTATTTTCATTAGTTGTTAATGAACTTAGACATAATACAGCAGAACAGATTTGCATGAGAGTCCTCTAAGGATGAAATAATTGCTGCAGTTTCTAGTTCGACAGTGAATACTGTCCTCCTTGTTGATGTCATTAGGCAAGCAGCCTTCTTAGCTTTCATGTCAAAATATTCTAGAAAGAAGATATCTAAAAGAAAAACATTTTGAGTGTGATATGCTACTGAATTAAGAATATCTTAAAACTGATACCATAATTTCTCTCAAGTACTGAATTAAACGTTAAGGCAGAAACATGCTGATAGGGAAATAGTCTGACCTCTAAGTTGGCCAAATTCATGATCAGACACTGGTATGTTATTTTCCAAGGTCACTAGATATTTGTTGAGTTTTGTGAAGGTGTTTTGTTACAGCTGTCCATTTGCATGCTACAGCTACTTCAACTGGCTGAACAGATGTTCATCTTCGGCTTGAAACATTAAAGGATGGTCCCAACTTAATAGTAAATTCCCCATTCAGGCCAAATTTTGAGTTCAACTATTCACAATTTTTTCCTGTAGACCTCCCCCCCCCCCCCTTTTTTTTTTTTCCTTTTTATTTTTTTTTAATTGTTGTTTTGGTTTAGTTTTGTTTGGTTTTGTTCTGTCTGTTTTTATTTTGTCATTGTTGTTATTTTGTTTTGCTCTTTTCCTACACAGTTGAAGCATGGTCACTGCTACACATTTTAATGTATTCTGGTGGTGCGCTCTGTTGTGAAATAACAGCTTTTCCAAGAATAGGAAATAAATGCTAGAGTTTGTACTGTTCATTGTTAGGTTTATAAAATGCCTTGAGACCCATTTTGATGGCAGAAGCTTCATAAATGAACTCTTGTTCCTGTGAGCAGTGCAAATAATGGTAGTCTGTGCTGTGAAAAGCCTACTTCTGTTTGCACTTAAAAATTTAGACTAGAAACATCAGCCAGATGTCTCTAGAAGAAAAAAATATAATCCTGAAACACTTCCACTTTGAAAAGCAAATGATTCACAGAAAGTATGAAACCAGGACAAATAACAGAAGAAAGAACGGTATCTGTCCTTTAAGTTTGTTAAGGCTTTTTTTTTTAGTAATTTATATATATTTTGAATGTCTTTATACAGTATTACCAGATGAAAGAGAATTTCAACGTGCTGCAAAAATGAACAATTTGGAAACCATGGAAAAGCTGTTTAAAAAGAGTGTTAATATAAACGCTGTAGATACTGTGAGTATAAAGTGCCCAAAATGCGGTGCTCAGGGGGTTGCGTAGCGGGCACACAGCAGGCTAGAGTTGGGTGGGTCCCAATCCTGAAGATGACTAAGCAGTGTTTCATGTGTCTGGTATGGACTGTAGGATTTCATGCAGCATAACTCACAGGTTTTTGCATTTAGCCACTAGGCTGTGCATAAAATTAGGACCTAAGGGCCTCTAAATTGTGGCCCTTGCTCTGTTACTGACTGCCTTCTTGTGTAATTAATTCCTTGGGTTTCCCCATCTTTCAGAAGGGGAGGACTTAACCTCACAGTCACTTTGAGAATGAAACTGTGCTGCTAATATTACAAACTTCAGATGCTGGTGTGAAGTGTTACTGCTCAGTGTGCATGGAACCACAGAAGTGTGCTACCACAGCTTCTGGCTTCACACTGAGATCAGGTTTCAGATTTGCCATAAATAGACAAGAACACATTTCTTAGCTGATACCAGCTCCAAAGTCTGAGGACACACACATTTCACAGTAACTAAGTAGAGTGCTGTTCGTCAGAGGTAGTTGGACAACAACACAGAGGTCCCCAGTATTTATGCAGGAGTTGAGGAGAATGGTTTGCTCTCAGTGGCTATGTATAATTCCCTTGCTTGTGAACATCCTAACATTACTTTACTCATAGAAGCAAAAACATTGCTTCCTGTGCTTACCTGCATTTCACCCTACTGGGGAATCAAGGAGAAAGTAAAGCTGCATTCCTTGTTTTGTTTGTGAAAAAGAGATGGAGATAAAGATTTATTTTGAGTAGAACTCACTCTTGAACAGTGACCATGTACCAATTAATTGCATACTTCTATGAATACACAGCAGGTGACCACAGAGCCCAGTCACTCAAAATATTCTTGCTTCCTTACTGTTTTCCAGAATTTGGGAAATTAAACTAAATATAGTTCCAGCCCAGGAGTCTGAATCTTTACTCTCTCATCCTTAAATCAGGTCTTTAGTATGATATGTGCTTGGATATTTTGCATTGACTGGTGCTCGTAGCAGGGACTTAGCTTATACTGGCAGAACAGCTCTTGCATTTATGTTGATTTTTCCAACCCCTGTATTTCCAAGCCAAATAAGCAAGGCTGCCAAAACTTAGCTAGTTTTGCTGATAAAACTATTTCTGTGCAAGCGTTTTTTTCCTGGCATAAATCCTACCTGTTTATGTTTTTAATTCATATAGCTGTACATTTAGAGTTATAAATGAATCAGTCAGCTGATCTGCATAGAAGCACAACAGAACAAATCCAAACTGACTTTCAAAGTTAAATGCTTATGTCACATATGGAAACTCTCAGTGAGTTATGTTAAATCCAATTATGGTCACTTTAATTATAACTGAAACTCTTTCCACCAAGGTTTAATTCATTTTAACCAATCTCTTTTAGATTCACACCATCAGTTACCTTAATGAAAAATTAATTAAATGTTTCTGGTAAGCCTTGAGCTGTTTCATCTGTTTAAAATTACTCACTGTTCACAAGGTGGAAGCCTTCATTTGCATAGATAATGGCTCAGTCTGGGAAGGTGACTCAATATTGAGAGAGGAACCTCATCATGTGTCGCAGAGATACAGTAAAATGTGAGGAGGATATGAAAAGCAAATATAATTGTGTAAATCTAGTCCTCAACGTTTTCAAATCCAACTATATAATAAAATAGTACACATGGGTGCTTCTGGCACTGCATGCGTCTCCTCTAGGCAGTGTATGATTATTTAATCTCACTTTGACAGTGTGTTTCAGCCAAGGGATTATTTTGGTACATACAACAACTCTGTAACTAAACTGTTCAGGTTCTGCACAAAATCTTTATGATCAATACCTAAATTCTCTCCAAGGGAACAGAAATACAAAGAACAAGTTACAGGGGAAATATGAAAATGTATGCATATATTAACCAGAGAATTTAATTAATAATCAGAGAATTCAGAAATCCTGACATTTGCATTAGGAAAAGAGCTGTTTTGTGTATCTGACAAACAAAACATTGCTTATTTCAGCTGAAGCGCACAGCATTGCATTTTGCTGTTGCAAGAAGCCACACATCTGCGGTGGATTTTCTCCTCCATCACAAAGCTAGACTTGATATGGCAGATCAGGTGAGCTGTTCTACATGTTTGGATTCACACAGTGTAGCAACAACTCAGGGGAAACATAAAGGTAAATATTTCCTTTATGGCCTGCATTTTGCAAAATTAGGTGGTTGCTGTAAATGCTTCTATTTTTCAAGACTGCACACATTTGAATGAAAAAAAAACCCACATCAGTAGTGTAAAAAACAGTGCCCAGATCACTGGCAATATTGAATGCATGTGTAAGAACAAAGGTGGTTGCACAAACACCTGGTCTCTGTGGTAGCTACATATTAATCATTGGCCACTTGTATATGAAAGTCATCACTATAAGTAAAAATTGGATCCAGAGACTGCTTAGAGCTCAGAAAGTGACTGCTTGTGTTCCCTTCCCCCTGTCTGCTGTGAGCAGCATAATGCAAAGCTGTTGGCTACTCTGCAGCCTCCGAGACTTTCAGAGTTGAGCAGTTTATGGCTAATTTGGCTGGGCCAGATGGCGATTCGCAGCACAGGGTTTTATTCAGATGCCATGACCAAACATATACCATGTTATTAATAAACAGGTTATTCAAGCTAGGAGTTTTCCAGTGAACTGCAATTTGTTTCCAGAGAAGGTATTTGTTTAGTTGTTATATAATATGAGTTACGCATATATTTCATCCTAAGTAATGAAAATAGAGTAATCATTTACATACACACACACACACACCACTTGCTTCTATCTTCTTATCCACCATATGCTGCAGTATTTATTTATTAAAAAAAAAAGACAAATTCCATGCTGGAGGGACTGGTGGGAGGGAGAAAGTTTCGTCATTGCTATTTGCTGTTGAAATGAAAATCAGATGAGAGAGACCTGTCCGTGCCAGTAGCTGGCAGCTACAGGCCTTGGTGTTCACTTGCAGTGTAGGAAAGCCACCCACTGTTCATTGTTTCATTTGCTTTGGAGCATTGTCCTGCACTGCCTGGGCAGCGCGTATCCCACGCAGAAGGAAGGCACTGCTCATTTCTTCATGGCAAATTATTTTTCAGATTGGCTCAGGCATTAAGGTGACTCAGAGCATTTTTATTTTTTTATATATTTTTTTTAATAGCTGGGTCAGATGCACTGAAGCCTGCTTGGAAACATAAACCTTCCCCCCAATGCTGGGGTTCTGTTAAACACTCAGAATATTACTCTAATTAAGGATTGCCTTTTAATTATTGGCTGTTTTAAATTCCTTGATGTAGTTAATCATCTTTATTCAAACATTACTGGAAACACTCCATTATATTTAGCACACAGAGCTTAATTATTATGACAATAGATGTTATATTTGATGGTGATTCATGTACTTTTTGACAGTTGGATTGATATTGCAGTTGATAAGAAATGGAATGAACATACTGTGAAGAAGTAAAACTCTTATGAGAATTTGGGAGAAGGAAAGAAACATGTAAGAATAGAGCTGACTGGAAAATCATGGTGACTCATGGAAATAGGGTTGTTACACATTATAACCCAAAATGTAATTCACTGCACCCAGAACTGGCTCCTTCAGGCCATCGCACAGTTTCTGGAGAGACGGAAACATTTTTGGGTAGTTTCACCCCTCCATCCTAGAACAGGATAAATCCTTGTCTGGAAATGCCAGGCCTTTGGTCAGGGAGAGGGGGAGCCTAAGCTTCTAGTGTAATTTAAGTGAGATGAACCCCACTCACACTGCCAGCTGATAATGCTGATGCTCTAGTGCCTGTGGAGCAGACCCCGCTCGTACACTGAATTAAAAAGATTAAATAAATTTGGCAGGATGTGTTTTGGTGCTAATTTCTGACTTTTTCATTTTATTTAAAGCATGGCCTGACAGTGATTCATCTTGCAGCTTGGACTGGAAATCTGGATGTAATGCGAAAATTAGTTAAAGCAGGCGCTGATCAAAAGGCAAAGAATGAGGTGTGTTGATGACAAGTTTTTATCAACTGTAAACATGTTAGTGTTGGGAAAAAATCAAACACATTCTTACAGAGTTGCTTGTGGTTTTTCAGGAAGGAATGAATGCACTGCACTTTGCAGCCCAGAACAACAGTGTTAAAATAGTTGATTATTTTCTCCAAGATCTTCATCTGACTGACTTGAACAAGCCTGATGGGGTACAATATGTTTTTTTTCTTCTTTCTTTTCCTTTTTTTTCCCCCCTGTTTATTCCTTTCATGTTGTGAGGCATCTGTTGTGGGCAAAACAATCTTGGCTTGGGAGTTCCAAAGAAATTAAATTTATTACAGCTTGCATAAACATTTAATTACTGATTTGGGTATTGAGAAACAAGTGTGACAAACTGCCTGACAGGCACGTAGAGAAAACACCTTTCCTACCTGCTTGCCTTCCTGAGGTGAGCTCTAGAGGCTGCTCCTCCCTTGCTCCCCTTTGCACTGGCCCATTGGTGAGGTGCTGGGAGGCAGTGGGGGTTGGGGTCTGTCCAAGGTGGTTTTCTTTTTGCTGATCCTGTTTCTCTGCTCTGGTCCATGGTTCCTCCATGAGCATCCCCCGCCTCTCCTCCCTTGCATCCTCTCACGTCTCAGCCTGTGCATCCTCTCGTGTTTCCTCTGTTATCAACCTGTGCACCCTGCCCATAGATGTGGCTGCCCTTTCTTTAATACCTGGCAGAGGTACCACACATTCCTCTGGTGGGTTCACTACTAGTGGTTTGGTTTTGTCCATTGCTGACAATGCAGGCTTCTTCCACCAGTGGAGTATAAACCACATGCAGCCTTACCACAGGGCTGCTTCAACACTTCAACAGTGCCAGGGCCTTGTCTTCATCGTGTTTTGCTATGCCTGTATTTTTTCTTCCCACTCTGTCGGGATCTTGCTTTGAAGGCTTGCTTAGCTAGGTAGGGTATTGTATCTTTACAGGAGGAAAAAATATTCTTATAGGATCTGTCACCAAAACAGCAACTCTTTCCCATGCTCTTTTTGAGCCTTTATTTGTATTGACTGAATTCTGAGTTCTGTCTGCACGTGACCAGGCTGATATTGAGAAGAGTTTATTTAACAAAACAAACCTCTGTGGTTTAGGACTTCAAGGAGTCTTCTCTATATTGAGGCTGTATCAAAATTATGTTATAGTTTCTTGCATTTTTTTAATTAGATTTTTAATATAGGCCACTATCGGGTAGCCTTTGACAGTTGGTTAGATGGTCTCACCATCTGACTAGCAGTATTATTGTAGCAGGATTACTTTCCACTGTTGAGTTGTAAATAGTTGGATAAGTTTTTTTTTGTTGTTGTTGTTGTTTAGTCTTAACTACCTACTAACAACAACAGCAAAAAACAATGTACAGTATTAAATTCAGATCTCCTGGATGAAGTTTCTGAGATGCAGCTGTTGTGGTCTGTGCCTGCAGAATTCAGCTTCAAGTGTGTTAAGTCGTGAAAATAAATTATTAGTGTCTGCTTCTGAGCATCTTCAGACATTTAACAAAACAGTCCTTTTGATGAATAGTTTAATACCATGAATAATTAATAATTAAATATTTTGAGCAATGTTTGTAACTCATTTGTTACCATTTCCAATCAGTTTTCAAATATTTTCTTCAGGACACACAAGATGTATAATTTGTTGGGATTTTTTTGCAATACAAAATTTTGCTTTTTAAAAATTCTTGCTTTTCTTGTATATACATACTTTTCTGCTGATGAACTTAGTCATTATTATATATAAATGTTTATGCAGAATAACATGTGCATATATAGGTAATATATCTGGTAACTGGAAGCTTTCAGTAATTCTGTTTCTTTCCATGTTTATTTTCTAGAAAGGTAGAAAGCCATTTCTCCTGGCATCTGAAAAAGGCCATGTTGACATGATAAATGACTTGATTGCTCTAAAGCTGTTCACATCTGAAAAAGATCAGGTAATGCTTTCTTTTCATGCTTAGGAGAGATTACTTTGTTTCTGTGTAGTTCCTGCACAACCCAGCAGTATGAATAAGCTGTGCAGGTGCTGTTGTGCTGGCAGTGATATATGTTGGACCATCAATGACACAAGGATGATGATTTTTCGGTAATTAAGGGAAGACAGTGGTCCCATTGCCAGAAGACTTTTCCATACGCATCATTAATAATTCATGTAAAGCAAGACTGGCGTATGCTGCCTGTTGGAAGAAGAGGGAAAGTCTGGAGGTGAAGGTGCCAGCCTCTGTACTGGGACATCACGTTTTCCATTTTCTTCACTCAGCTGTGTCTGTGTGCCACTGATGAGCGGCTAACTTTTCAGAGGTATTTAAGTACTTCAGAAGGCAAATAAATGTGTGAGGATTTTTCAGGAGTGCATAAATGCCTGAATCTAATTGAATTTGCTGTTGACTCTACATTTTAAGGTGTCTTACTAACTTTCAAAGTTCACCTTTAAATATCTTTATTCCTTACGTCACTATTACTGGACTGAGCACATTGGTGTTTCTTTGCCTGAGGCATTGCAAGGACAAATATATAAAAAATGGTGAAAAGGTCAGAAATCGTGTTCATAGAGCCATGTAAACAAGCATTCAGAAAGTCATGCTGTCATTTTGGTCTTCTGGTAATCTATTAAATGCTGCCTTTCAACCCAGATCTCTGCTGTGCTAAGCAGTCTACTAAAAAAGGTAAAAAGACAGCCTTGTCCCAGGCAGCTAGCAGGCTGAATGTGTAGAGCAGCAGTCATGGGAGCTAAACTCTGTGATCCTACAGAGTGAGAAGGTAACAAGACAGGACTGAAACTCCACTGCTGGGTCATTAAAAGCAGCTGTACCCATCCCTTAACAAACATATATATATTTTTTTTTTTTTTTTTTTTTTTTTGTAAAAGAATTTTGGATTTTTTTCCCCACTAACAATGTGATTGGGAAGCTGTTCTGGAATCTCCTTTCTTGGAAGGTCGGGATCCTTCTCGCAATTTCTATCTTCAGTTTGTTTCTAGCCAGTTTTACACTTGTTCTTATGCTAGCACTGTCTTTTAGCTCAGAAGCTTTTGCAGTTCCTGATAATCATTTAGATTGCCCTTCATGTCTATTTGCTTACTGGTATGCCATATTTTTCTTACTTAGCTAATGAAGAATCATGCTGATGATGAAGAGGATTAAAGATTGCTGCCTTGGCATCAAAGCCATAACGGCATCATATATACTTACTTAGGTTTTGTCTGTTAATCCTTAAGTCAATACTTCTGGGGACTTGGTGTAGTCCCCACAGGAAAAGTTTTTTTTCTGATTCATTCTTTAAAAGTTAAGATATTATTATTATTGTTGTTGTTGTTTGTTTATTTATTTATTTATTTATTTATCTATTGTTAGTAATGCACTGCAGTTTTCAGAGCATTAACAACCATCCAGACCAGCAAGGTCACAGCTATATGCATGAGAAAATGCTCTTTTCAAATAAACCTGGCTCTTGAAACATGCTGTAGGTTTGCCACCACTGCCCTGTATATAAAAGAGAGACAGAAGGACAAATGGCTTTGTTTGTTGTCCTTAACGTTTGTTGTCCTTAACGTTTTGGGTTTATTCTGTGTTCTAAAATGTCTTCTTTGACACCCTAATTTCAAGGAGGGAAACACCGCCTTGCATCTAGCAGCCAAAAACGGACACAGTGAAGTCGTAGAAATTCTGCTCAAACAGTGGGAGGAAATAAATGACCTCAATCAGGTGAGGACACAAATTACTGAAGGAAGTAAAGTTAGAGATTTGAAAAAAACAAAACAAAACAAAAAAAACAATCACAAATTACACTTTAAAGGAATATTTTTTTTTTTCCACTGAATGGACTTCATTAGTTCTGCTGCTTTCCTAGCGTGTTCATGTCCTGTTTCATTGTCCCTCCTCCAATAAATTCAGCTCCGCTAGCTTCTTCAGTGTCTCTTGCTCTGTCCTCTGTTCCCCATGCAATGACCTCCTCTCCATTTTGCATGCCCTATTTATTTGTAGAAGAAAATGGTCCAGCAGAAGAAAGGAGTAAGGTGTATCCACTCCTTGCTAAGGCTCTCCTCTTCCTTTTTCAGCAAAAAGCTTATGGGAGAAGGGTTCTCTCTTTTCCAGGTTGTCTGTTTGTGTTTATTTGTTGCTGTTGCTTTTTTTTTTTTTTTTTTTTTTTTTTTTTTCCCCACCGTCCAAAGTTGAGGCACAGGAATTCTTTTGAAATGTGAAGCCCTCCTTTTTTTTTTTTTTTTTTCCAATATTTGACTAATTAAATGCTATTTCTGCACATAAAGCTTATGCTGCTTGTGTCCCTGCTGTGCCATGGCTAGTGGTGTCACCTATCTGTCCCGCTGGAGATGTTACTTTCTGTGGATAACCAGGTCACTCTTATCCCACCATGAGCTATATATTACAATAAATTCATTTTTACTGAAATAGTGGTGGTAGAAATTGAAGCAATGAAAGATCAGGAGATATGAACACTTCTGTGAAAGTTGAAGCTCTGGAGCAATTTTCTGTAAACCTTTGTCTGTTTTAGAAACAGGGTTTAGATCCTTGTGCAGATCATTTACATAGATGTAGCTTATTTTAGAGACCTCTTCTGGAGACATGGAGACTTTGGGCTTGTGAGGAGGTTTGAAATAAATATGCAGCAGAATTAATTTTATTAAAAGTGCTCCTTGTAGGTAGAATGTGAGATGGGAATCAATTAGAAAGCCATGGCACTGCTATTGATTCCCAGAATCTTTGTTTCTGTTCCTGTTGATTGTAATATTCTCTGGAAGGAGAACAACCATGACAGGTGAAATAGTTATCTGTATTTTACATTTTGCTTTATGAATATCAACATAATTGTCACCCATCACTTAACTGTGAGTTGCCATTTCAGTGAAATGTTGACTTGGGAGCATTCAGATTATGTTCTCTTGTGATCATCTCCCCTTTTTTATTGAGTTGGATGAGCCTGATAAAGATAACCTCTGTAGTGTCATAACTTTATAATCTTTATAATTTTTATAATTACATGGCTTAAATTGGAACAGGCTTTGCTTTTTTTTTTTTTTTTTTTTTTTTTTTTTTTTTTTTTTTCTCCCTCTTTTTTCATCTAGAATGGAGAAACACCATTTTACTTGTCTGTTGAAGGCGGTCATGAAAAATGTGCTGAGCTGTTACTAGAAGCAGGGAGTGACATCAACGTTTTAACTCACGTATGTACACAAAATCCCTTCAGTACACTGCTGCTGGCACATCCTGGGCTGTGGGAATGGCTTTGTCTTCTCTCTTCTGTGTGTACTCACAGTGTATTTGCTCTGCTTATTTTTATAAAATGGTGTGTGTATATATACATACATACACATGTATTTGTATATAAATTTGGGAATGCAAAGAATGTTAATTGTGGAAGAAATTTAGCATAGATATATTTGACAGAATAATGATGTGGGCCTTTTTTATTTACTGTCAATTGAATAGTAAAACATATGGCTAGGAAATGTAGCCATGTAGGGTAATTGAAAAGCCTCATTTTTGGCAGCTTATACGCCTGAACTGATGACAAATCTCTTCCCCACATCTGGTTCCTGAACTCCAGTCCAGCTCAGATGTGTTAAATGGCCCTGGCATGCCTGTTGCAAGAATTTGCAGCAATGCCTGTGATTCCAGCAGAGTGAGAGCTTGTTTGTTTTAGCAGAATTATTAACAGAACATTTTCTATTGATTTTTTTTTTCTTAATGTGTTATGTGACTGTAATGGCTTGTTAAAAGTCAAACTGAACTAACAGACTGGGAGATACATTGGGATTGTTGTAGTCCATGCCCCCAGTAAAGCTGACAATGCTGAATTATCTCTTTGCCAATAAAGATTGAAAAGGACTGTGCAGTACTGATGTTTTCAGCATATTTGTTGCATTGTGCTAACAACGGAAAGGTCCTCCAGTGTTTACAAAAACATGTAGCTGTAACTGGTGGCCTACTTCATACAATCACATCGTTTTACCAAAGGGAGGCCTTTTTTTGCAGGTGCATACAGGAGGATAATAACACCAATATAAATGAAAGGCTATTCTCTATTGATAGCTGTCTTCAGTACCATTTATTTATTACTTTCCCAACAACAAAAAACATTTCTTGCCCATAATATTTCTTTCAGAACAACAGCAGTGCATTGCAAATTGCAATTCAGAATGGACATCTATCTTTGGTTACTTTTCTTATTGATAACAATGTTGATCTGGCCCCTAAACCTGAGGTGAGTGTGTATCAATACAACTTCCCTGCTGTTTCTTCAGTGTGCCCTGTCTTTATGGACTTCCTTGAGAATTCGAATACTGAATAAGGATCCTTTATTATTTTTATTGTATTTTGCCTGTTGTGTAATGTGACTGAGATGATTTATTTTAAAGATCAGACTGTTTTTGCACTGGTTGTTCTTACTGGCTTTCTGTAGCTGAAGCAACCTGTAAAACTGTAACTGAGGTTTTGGAAAGGTTTCCAGTTGAACACTGTGTGCGGGCTTTATTTATTTTTCTGTAGCCCCAAAGAAATGGTTGTGGTTTATAAAGATTAATGAGCTGGTGTCTGGCATTGGTATGGAATTATTTTTTAGCTGTATTTAACAGAAACTGATGAGTCACAGGTACAACAAGCAAAGTGATCTTGCCAATCTGCTGGTTGAATAGTGACTGGTGTTGGACCTGTGCCCCAGTTATTTTCATGAATAATCACTCAAATATAAAAACTTAATTTCTTTCTAGCTATAACTTGTTTTTTATAATTACTACAGCAAGCCAGGTTATTATGAAGGATATCTACAGTAGCAGTATGCTACAGGAGTTTATTCCTGGAAAGTAGATTTTGACAGCTGCATACTCAACACAGAATTATTCTTCCTCCAGCCTGTTCAAACAAGGGCAAACTCATTTTTCTGAGGGAACACAAACATTACACCAAACTCCACACTCTCAGCTGAGTCCAGCAGCGCAGCACAGCATGGATGTATACAATGCCTTGCTGCAATTGTACGTGGCAGCACACTGCTGTGCACGGTGCTCTCAGCAGCTTCAGCTTCCTCTGCGGTGTTTGCTTACCAGCTGCAGTAGCTGCGGCAGGAGCAGCCCACTATGAGGGATGCTTGTAGTGGGACCTCTGGCACTGCTGCATGCCCTGGGGTGCCTTGTCTGCAGCCCTGCGGCCCTGCAGGAGCACACCCTGCATTTTGTCAGTAAGGGTAGGTTTTAGCAGGAAGCTCTTTCTTGCTTGAATGGGCTTCTAATAAATGCACCTAATCGTCTTGTTGCTTTCCCTCCACAGCAGAAGAATTCTCCGCTCCATTTAGCAGTCATCAATAATCATCTGCCGGTAGTAAAAGCACTCTTGGATGCTAATCATGATATAAACTTCTTAAATCATGTAAGAAAAACTGGGAATTAATAATAACTTCATGGCAAAAGAGGAGATTATGTGGATTTTTATCCCCCCCCGCCCCTGGGATAAAAATGGAGCTCGAGGTATCAAAAAAAAAAAAAAAAAAAAAAAAGGAAACAAAACCAAAACCCCCAAAACAAAGAAACAGCAACAGCAAAAACAAAAACAGAAAGGAAGAGGCAGTTTCCCCTTTATATTTTTGTGTGTGTGCATATGTATTAGTCACTGGTACATGCTGTGCTAGTAGTATTTGTGCAAGTACAGATAGCAAAATGTTACATACTAGGAAAATATTTGTATTAATTTATTGTTCAAGTGGTATGACTCATGCATAAAACATGACAGCAATGTCTCAAACCTGATTGTAGAGGTAAGCACAGTGCAGACTGTCAGTGGTCTGGCAGATCTGTTTTTTTCCCCTCACAATAACTGGCAGTGTACATTTCCCAAGGTATACAGGGAGAGAGATTTCTGGCAGGCTTTCGGGCTCTCATAACCTGAAGTTATCCAGCTGAAAACTAGTACTGTGCACACAAGCTTGGTCAGCTCAGGAGCTGTTAATTAATGGCAGTTCTAGAAAGGCCTAGCTATGTCATCTGAGATTTGAGAGGTTCCCTCCAGCCTTTCTCATTAAGAAACCATGAAATCCCATGAAGATTAGTGCACTGAAAGAGCAATCAGAGCTCCCTAATGGAAGCTGGAGCATTTCTCTGCTCTTTGGATGTATGCTGCTCTCTCAGTGTGCTGGGTCTGGCCAGGATGGAGTTAAAGGTCTTCATAGCAGCCCACATAATGCATGTTTTGGATTTGTGGCCAAAACAGCATTGATAACCCAGCAGTGTTTCAGCTGTCGCTGAGCAGTGCTTGCACAGTGTCAGGGCTTTCTCTGCTCCTTGCTCTGCCCTGCAGTGAGGAGGCTGGGATGCCCAGGAGGAGGGAGGGGACACAGCCAGGTGGAGGACCCATGCCAACTGAGGCAATATCTGTGACTCTGCGTGTCCTCCCCTCCCCACAGCATCACCCTCAGGAGGGATGTCGCAGGTCTCTGTGGCGCAATCGGTCAGCGCGTTCGGCTGTTAACCGAAAGGCTGGTGGTTCGAGCCCACCCAGGGACGTGGGTGCCCATTTTCCTGCAGGTGGGGACATGAGTCCATGGTGTTTGGCCTCTTGGCTGATCCACAGCATCATGGCCCCCACCGTGGAGGGAGAGGAGTCCTCCATATTTGCATGTCTGCCCACTCTCATGGATTGTGGGACACTTCTGGACTGCGTCTGGAGGTTATTGTCCATGTCTCTGTAGACCACCACCAACCATGAATCCCCTCCGATTCTGGACGCCTTCCTCTCTGCTAATCCACTGGCTGATGACAATGTATTTACTGTGGCTGCCAATTTACACACTCCCTCACATGTTTCCATGCTTGGTCCCTTGTCAACTTGTTTTCAGTTTTTGTTCTTTGAGTGTTGTTTACTACTCTCTTTTGCTTTGCCTGGGGAAGCCACGACAAAGGCACTAGCCTTGAGCTTCTTGTGGTATTTGGGCCCTTCACAGCTGCTGTCCCCATGCTCTGAGAACCATCTCATGGAGAAAATTAACAATTACATCTTTTCTCCTTTTCTCTTCTGAGAGATGTTTTGTGGAGAGAGAAAAGAATGGCACCTACCTTTCCTATCCTCCAGGAAAATAAGTCTTTCCACCCCCGTTTTAAGGCCTCTTGGTTCCTTGATTATCCTTGCATAATCAGACTGTTTGCACCAGTGTGTGTGTTGTGATTCTGAGTGTTGTTTGTAAGGTTACACAACTCATTGGGAATGCCACCTGGAACATGTCCCAGGGCAGTAGATCAGTGGGTGGCAGGCTGCTTGGAGGAGCTGTGCAGGTGCCCCAAGCCATTCTTGTCGCCCATAGCCTGGGTTTCACACCTGAATGGGCACATAATCCCACTGACCCCATGCATGGTTTGAAAGAGGGGAGCCCTGCCTACCCTGGGGAAACATGGGGATTTCTGACGCTGTGCTGAGGCCTGGCACGTTCCTGTTGGGCTGCTGCCGAAAGGCCTTGGGAGAGACAGAGAGAGATTGTCCCACCAGGGCCGCTGAGGCCCATGCGAGGCATAGCCCGCCTCCCACCTGATAGACAGGGATGTTCCCTGCCATACTGGCCAGAAATAGTCTCCAAGGAATCTGTAATTTGTCCCAACTCGTGGTGCATTTAACTGCTGAAGATTAATTTAGGAGTTTCACGTGTATTCCCCAAAGAGCTCCTGTGAGACTTTATGTGGAATCCTTGTGGCTGGCTCTCTTGGTGTGTAAGGTCACGGTGCATGGCTCTACAACACTGAAGTTAAGGTGGGATTTAATACTTATCTAAAGGTGAAATGACATCTCCAACCATCTTTCTCCTAGCTCCTTGTGCAGCCCCAGCCTTCTCACTGGCAGGGCAGCATGAGGAGCTGAGAAGGCTTTGGCTTAGCATAAGTACCACTCAGCAACAACTGAAACATCAACGTGTTAGCAGCATTATTTTCATCCTAAACAGCACTGTACCAGCTACTAGGAACAGAGTTAACTCTATCATCCCAGCTGAAAGCATGGCAGTCACAAAACCTTCAATTAAAAAAGGTTGCTGTATCACGTGAAATGTGCTAAGGGACATGTCCACCTACACAAGGTTTCCGTAAATGAGAACACACCACATTTGCTGCTGCGTTTCTCCCATAGACATCTGGAATACTTTCCTGTAAGTGCAAATAGTAGAAGAAAAGAACAAGAGGCAAACACTTCTTAGTGAATAGGAAATGCGTTCTTATTACTAGACTGATAAATTCCCCAGGGGCTGCTAGTTTCTTACTGACATTCTGTAGAAGGGTAAATAAATGGATTTTATTTGGGTAAATGAAGCTGCATAAAGACCACACAACCCTAATTTCAGGCCAAAAGATTAGACTTGAAACTGAATGTTCCTTGACCTGTACTTTATGTTAATGGTTTGGTCTTTTGTAAAGTTTGTTTTGTTTTGTTTCATTTTATTTTACTGTGGTTTAAGGTTCACTGGACACTCCATATCATCATATTGTGGCAGAGCTGGCTAAGAAACCCTGTCACGGACTGTGGCACAATGTGCTGTTGAAAATCAAGGTTGTCCAGTTGTTTCTGCATGAATTTCAGCAGGGAAAGATTACTTGAGAGGCTAGCATGGCAGTTGGCACTTGCATGAATCACTCTATCCAAAGCACCTTGTTTTAAGAAGGTAGAGGAAGAATTCACATTATAATCTGTTAGAGGTGCATAACAGCAGCTTTGTCCTGACCCAGCTGGAGCTCTTGTCTGTTTTTCCTGCAGAGCTCCCAGATGCTGTCTTGTTTGCCTGAAACAAAGCCGGTAGTTAGATCATTGGAAAGTTAAATGCTTTCGTTCTGTTCAGTATTTTCTAGCCAGGGCCATCTCTTGTTGTGGATCTTCTGTAGATTCAGATTGTATGCATTTTTTTTTTCCCCTATGGGGACTTTGGTTTATTGTATTTATTTGCTGTTATTAATTTCAGAGGCAGGAAACTCCTCTGCATCTGGCAGCTGATCTTGGCAATGTGGAGCTGGTGGAAATGTTGCTGAAGGCAGGCTGTGACCTCAAGACCACGGATAAGGTAGATGACACTCCTTACATATGCAAAGATTATGTAGCTTTATATTTCGCTTTATAACCTTCTTCCCAGAGATACAGGAAACACATGTTTCCAGTCATCCTTCGTAAAATGAGTGCAGCCAAAAGTTAGCTGTTACAAAGGAAGTCTGCTTTTAATGCTGCCTTACCTGTGGCTTGCAGAGGTCTATATAGTATTGGCCAAGAGCTCTTTTTGAGCTCAGATGTGATGAAACACACCATGAGCAAAATCCAGCCATTTAATCATTTAAAAAAATGATTTCCATGTTCAAAGCTGTCCTAATAAGAGTAAAGCTTTATGAAACTAATGTTACCTCTGTTTTTGGTAACCTGACATGAACCTTGGGGCCCCACCTTTGCAATGAATTGGTATGCAGACACCAGAGATGTCCCCATCCTTGTGTACAGAACATCAGACAGGAAAAAGGGGAGCCTGTGTGGACTACATGGTGTTCCCCCGGCCTCCATACCCTGACAGCCAGAGTCCTCAGCCCACAGAGCACACACACCTCTGCAAGCTGCAAGTGGGAGTGCTCTCTTGGAAGCTCTTCCTGCCCACCTGCTGCAGGTGTGGTTGTGGTTGGAAGTGACTGAAAGCCAGGAGGTGCTCCTTGTGTGCCCAACTGCTGTGCTACACATGCACACAGGATGACAGTGGCACAGGAGCCTGGAGGCACCCCTGCCTCCAGCCCCACCTCCCAGGGAACACAGGGCAGTTTTGCAGGGTTGGAGTGCTTGCAGTCCCTGGTCTCTGTACTTGCTATGTATGCCTATGCTGGAAGGATTTTTATGAAACACAAATTCATGACTTCCAGTGTGATGCTTTCCTAAAAATGGGTTCCTAAATGATTTCCTAAAAATTAAAACTACCTTGAGCAGAGCCATAAGCTAGAACTCAAAAGGTATCCATCAGGGAATTTTATTATAGCTGGAGGGTTAAAAGAACTTATTTATGTATATATTTTTAATATACTTTATTTTATTACCAAGCCTTTCAGTAAAGGGGTTAGTTTCTTTTAGGCCTAACTTTCTGGAATGCCTAACACTTGATTTGTGGAGCATACCCTGAATACTCATACCTGGGGTATCTCCACTCAGTGCAAGCCCACTGAAAATGGATGACTACAGAGAGAACCCTGAGATGCCGCTGAAATGCCTCCACACCAAAGTGCTGGTCACTGAGATAGGCTCAAATGGACTGAACAGTCATCTGGGCTGGAATTTAAACAATGGCTTTTTATTCCTTTGGTTGTCTGCACTGTCCATGAGACGTTGCCTTCAGCTGTTATGAGAAAGTCATTCCCACGTTCCCTTTTCCTTCTGTGACCCAGAATCTCCTACTGCCCAAGACAAGATGTGGGTTTGCTCTTAAAGTAGATTTCCAATGCAGACGATGCAGCTCATGCAAAGCATAGGAGAGCCTTGATTGCAGCCATGCTGAAGCCATAAAATTTTAGTAGACATGCTTTGTTGAAGAAGAAAAAATAGAGATGGGGTTCTGTAAGCGAAGCTCATGTCTTTCTTCTGTGTGTCCTCAAATATGTGAGATCATGTCCTGATTCACTCTCTCTGCTTGCAGAATGGAAAAACTGCACTAGCCATGGCATCAAGGAGCAATTACGCCCTAATTGTAGATATGATCATTAAAGCAGAAAGGTATTATGCCACAGAACAGGTAAGAGACATCCTTTTTTTGTGCTGAGGAGAACTGTGAGGGAAAAGCTGATTCTGATCTTAGAGTGTCTTTTGCCTGGTTTGTTTTTGGCAGTCTACAAGACAGGCCTTGATAAATCAAGGACTGGGAACAGGAAAGCCTTCACCCTGTTCAGGTTTTATCCCTGTCCAGCAGTAAAGCTGTAGGCAGATTTTTTTCATTTTTCTGCACCGAGCTCCACAGGCATTGCAAAGGGGTGGAGAGAGATTCTGACCCAAATTCAAACTGTGCCACTGGCATCAGGCCGGTGTCCTTCGGCACAGCAAAATCCGTGGCTGAAAAATGGAGGAGAGCAGGTGTCTGATTTTACTTTGCTGTGAAAAGCTCAGTGCTGCGGTGGGAGCTCCCTCTTCTGTCTGGCCTACGTTAATTACTAACCTCAAGAAAGAAGGCAAGGAAAGAGCCAGGCAAGGCTCTGAAGTGATGACATGGCTTAGAATAACCTCAGATTGTCTCAATTTGTAAAATTCTTTCCCAAATTGGCATGATTATTTAAACGCAGGCTGCTTGGTGATGGCCCTCCCTAAGGGGCTGAGAGTCAGCCGAAGCCAGTAACTATTTTGGCTTGCACTGACTATCCCCTGTTGGCGGTGAATCTGCCTGTGCTCTATAGCAGGTAAGTGTCCGACGGAGATGAGCTGACTTTAGCTCCTTTACAATCAAAGGAACATTTGGAGGTGGGCTTCTGGTGAGGACCCCTTTGGAGACCTGCCCTGAAAGTCAGACTTATCCCAAATGGGTTTTGAACATTCAGGAGAATTCACGGTGTATTAATTGCTACCATCCAGAATATGCAGAAAGTTAATTTATTCCATTAATTACAGTCATAGCAATGAGCTACAAAACACCTGCTATACCTCTACACTTGATGAAGGGGAGGTATTTCAAAGGAAGATGAAAGTTAATTTTAGGGCATGTTAATGCTCCATAAATAGTTTAGTCTTGCATTGGGTTGCTGTGTTCTTATTTGGACCCACAGGTTTATGTGCATTTACTGAGAACTGATTAAATTTGTTGTGTTTTGAGATAGCTTGGGGATTTTAAATTGTATTATGTCAAATACTGTTTGTAGGCAGTAAGAGATGTCTATTGTCACATCCGCTGTGGAAGAACTGGAAGAAGGAAGATGCTGACACTATTTATTTATGTAAAGCAAGTGGTTCTGTGAGCACCAGAGCCGGCAGGGCCAGCAGAAGGAATTCAGTCTTGGAGTGTAGCTCTGAGTTTCACTGCTCTTTCGCTCTCATTGCTAAGCTGCCTCACAAGTCTGTAACTTGATTCTTGTTCCTGCTTCCTGCTTGCCAGTGTTTGCTTTACCAGGCCAGGCAGGAGCCTCTCAGGGGTGGTATAAGCGTTCCTGATCCTGCCTGAGCACAGGACTTAGCTGGCCTTTTAACACCCCTTCCAGCCCTATAGCGTCCAAACTGGCAATGCTTAGTTGCAGGGAATTGTGCTGTTAAATCACAGATCTAGATCAATTATTATGATGAAAACCATATCTGTGAACTCCATGTGTTGCGTGTATTTGACTTGTCAGTCCAGAGTTGTCAGTTACAGTATGGTTTAAGTGGCTTAAAGGGGAATTTAGAAGTGAGGTCACTTGTTGCCAGAGAAGATATGAAAAGCCTGATAGCAGCAAGCACATAATGCTCCTAACCTTTTGGCACTGTTTGCTGAACTGCCTGAGAAGTGAAGTTGTTAAAGCAGCTGGTTTGCCTGCAGAAGCTCAACAGACACAGGGAAACAGAAACCTACGTGCTTGGTCCCTTTACCTGAAGCTAAGGGCAGGGCTCAGATGTTACAGCTAGGGAATATGAAGTTGCTCTGCTGCTGTTGCCATGTACCAAACCGCACTGTTTTACACCATTATTGTGGCAACTGTCTTTTTATTATATCGAGCAGGCTTATCAGCTGTGACAACACTCTAGTTACAAAAGGAAATGTCATGTTGCTGTGAGGAAGTGCACGTGACTCAAATGTGTGTGAAAGGCTGTCTTGTTCTCCCTTGTTTGTCCTTATTTTTTTTTCCTTTTTCTTTTTTCCTATTTATGGCTACAACCCAACCCTTCCCAGAATGTTTTTAACCAGATTTGAAAGCTGCTCTTACAATCCCACACTGCCGCTGCCTAGACACACAATTAACAGCAAAGAGAATCTGCGCTGCTGCAAAGGGAGGAGAAAAAAGCAGTTTTATTTTTGTTTGTTTTGTTGCTGTGTGTGTGCTTGTTGTGTTGGTGGTGGTTTTCTGTTCGTTTGTTTTTAAACCTCATGAAAGATAGATGGTACTGGAGAGAGCCTGAAGCTCTCACGTGGTCTGTCATAAACCTCATGCTGCATGTGTCAGGAAGCATGAGATAGTGACTGCATCAAGAAAAATGGATTCAAGCATACATGATAATAATTAGTTACTGAACTGAGTGTTGCTTTTTTTTTTTTTTTTTTCTTTTTCTCGCAAGGCTCTCAAAAGGTTAGTAAAAAACCCTAATAATCCTATTTGCTTTGCCATCCTGAAAAAGATAAGGTTTTTCACTTTGAAGACTGACCTGAAGCAGGCCTAGCATACACTGTATCAAAGTAGTTTGATATTACCTACACTAGGAACCAGGCTTTTCCCTGGGCATCACTCAGCTGGGGTGAAATCGCTGCTGGGCATGGCTCTTGCAGGGATGTCCGGAAAAAATAAAACAACAACAAAAAAAAATCACCAATCTCATCAATTCTGTTGTGGGCAATCAGTGAATACCTAGCAACATCATTTTTAGGCTGGAGGGTAAAATGCTTGCTGTTTAGTTGGAATTTTGGTTTTGGTAGCTATCTAGTTTTGCTTGTGCAGGCAATAAAACTAGATCCAGATTCAATGAGTGCCTGCATGCTGGTGCTCAGACACCTTGCAGGGTGGAGCTCTGTGTGCTATACCCAGGGTCTCGCACAGCTGCCGCCAGGTGACTGCTTGCACCCACTGCAGCTGAGCTGGGCTGACAGGGCAAAGGCAGGAGCAGCCTGAACAGGTGCCGTGCTGGTGGTACACAGCACGAGGAACGAGGAACAGCTGTGGCTGAACTCCAGCCATGTTCAAAACGTGGCCTGTAAAGCAGACAGCTGAAGGGCTCAACTTCTACCTGCTGTTAATTGCTATCACATATCAAGTGCCAGAGGCAGCTTTATTTTGCTCTTAATGATACATATCAATAAACACAGGAGGTCCTTGTTTCTGTCATTTCCAGTCCTAAAACTATAAAGCCATGCTTCCAAAGAGCTCGACTTCTATC